GATCCGCTCGGAGGACTGTGATGCAAGTGGCTGAGGTTCGATTGGCGGTGGGTTGATCGCGACGACTTCGATGACTTCTGACATGGTGGGAGGACCTGAAGCTCAGAGGGCGGCGAGAAGGGCGAGCCGCAGAAGCTGGTACACGGTCGCTAGAAGGTGTGGAAGGATAAGGGGCCTCGGGCGCGGTATTGGTGCTAGGTATTAATATTAGAACACCGATAATACGATATCGTTCATAACACCCGTCGAAGCACTGCCGCATTGCAATGTGTAAGCCACGCTTCCTGCGCCAGGCCCCTTGGAGCATCAGTCTGACGTGATGTAGATCTCATTCATTTGGTGAGTGGAACTCTTTGGATGAATAGCGGGGCTCACCGGCCTGGGTCCTTTGACACGGTGTCGACGGTGTCGATGTCGATGATGCTGCGGTCCGAGGACAGCAGGCTTGGAATAGATGAGCAGAATGGCGAATCGCATTTACAACAAGGGAAAATGATACAAAATTAATGTACAAATTGACCGAGGGAGGCAAGAAAGCAATGCGACGTGACGGCTTAGAACTTGTTTCGCTTTCGCGACGGCTTCGGAGCCGCCTCTGATGACGCTCTGCGTACCTGTCAGTTCGGCAAACTACATCTGCCAGGGCGACGCACTTTCGGTTTTTGCCTTTGTTATCTGGCTCGTCCACGTCCATCATGTTCTCCCGATCGCCCATCTGGAAAGCCGCCCGCCTGCTTGCCATGCCGCCACCCATGCTCTTCTCTTTTTGTTTCTCGAAGACTTCCTTCAGGTGTGCCTGCAGTATCCGCTCGTGTTCTTGTTGGTTGAGCTTCTGCGCAGCAGTGTCCGCGGCTATTGAGTTGATCTTTGCATCAAGCGTCGTGAGGACAGCGGAGGTTGTATTGGCCCTGCCCAAAAAATCAAGCAAAAGAAAACGACGGCAATAACATGCTGACGTACCAGCCCTTCAATGCCGCCAAAACCTGCTCTAGCTTGCCTGGTTCGAGGTCGCGTCCCGCCGTGTACGTCACTTCCAATTGCTCCTCTTTCTGATCTAGCTTTCCTTGAAGAAGGTCGAGGTAGATGGCGTCAATGATGAGATCTTCGAGTTCGCGAACACTTGAGATATCAAGGGCCTTGAGCAAGTCTGCATAAGGAAGGATCTAAGAGGGCTCATCAGCAGAAGAAGGATGGTATGCGGCAAAAGAACTCACCCGTCTCTCAGCAGCTAGTGAAACGATTGTTAGATACTTCAGCTTGATGATTTGAGCTTGATTCAGGGGTGGTAGAGCATCCTTGTGTTCTGCTTCGTTCAATAAGAGGAATTAAACTGGAAGAGAGGAAGCGTACGAAGATAATCTTGATAAGTCTTGAATGCAAAGAGTTGGAGCAATGTCAGGAACTTTCGGTGTTGTTCGCTTTTTCCCAGCTAGCATATAGGGTAAGAGAAACCGAGGCGCTATAAAAGAAGTAGATTCACCTCCTGAATGTTGGGAAGTTCTAGCAACTCTGAAAATACGAAGACTCCTGGTGCAGCAGTGGCATCTTGAATCAGTTTGGCTGCTGCAGCCCCTTTGACCGACTTGGACATCAACAAGAAGGGCTCCAACTTTGCTGAGAAGTTCGCGTGATCCATGTTGATAAACTTCGTTGGTATTGTGCACAGAGTTGTCGAACGACAGAGCGAGGAGACACGACGAGTTCTTGCGACCGGGAAGGCACAATAATTTGAGGCGGAGACTTAATTGTCAGGACTGAGTTCAAGTCGCGCCGCCGGCATGTTTGGTGCAACCACCCATCCGCCGCTCACTTCTTTCTCTCCTCTCCCTCTCTCAGTTATCTCAAGTTTTGCTGCAATGCCTGTAAAAATCCCTTGCCTTATAGCGCGACGATCTGTCTTGCTTCTTCTGGTAGCTTTTGGGTTCTTCGTATTGCTGCCTTTCTGGCAAAATGCGAACAACAATATTCATCAAACCGATACGGATTCTAGCCTTGGGCTTGGTGTGGCAGATGCTATCTACGTTATCTCACTGCCGGCGCGACATGACCGACGAAAAGACATGGAGAAAATACGGCTGTCCCTGAACCTAAGTTGGACCTATGTTGACGCTCTACCATCGGCAAACCCTCTCGTTGGAATTATGATGCAATGGATAACTTTGGTGCGCAATCGACCGCCTTATCTCACCCGCAGCGATGATTCTCCCTCGCCTGACAAGACATCTTTCTCTTGGCCTGAAGATGCTGAAACGATGAACGAGCTTGATTTCTGGAACGTGGATCCCTGGCCCTCTCTGTTCGGTGTTCCTATCTCTTCGTCTCTCCAGCCTCTGGCATCTGCCACCCAAGATTTTACTATCGCATCCAACGCATCGAAGCTTCCGGAGCATCTCATTCTCACGCCTTCTCGGGTTGCTTGCTGGTACTCTCACCTGTGCGTTATACAGAAGATAGCTAACAGCGGCGATTCCGTATCTATCATCCTGGAGGATGACATCGACATGGAAAGGGATATCCATGCCCACCTTCAAAATATCTGGCCGAACCTTCCTCTAGACTGGGACATCGTATTTTTAGGTGGGAACTCGCCCGCTTGTCCTCGTCCAGGAGCTTACCACCGTTATCTAGGACATTGCTGGTCAAACGAATCTCTCCATCCACCGCTGACTCCGGCTGAACACCACTACGCTAGCATCCACAAATCTGTCAGCCCGAAGTGCACGCACGCGTATGCACTCTCACGCAAAGGTGCTCGGCGTCTCCTCGTGCATCTCCGTTACCCGCCGTTCGCCTTCTCGCGTGCCATCGACCAGGCTATCGCTTGGCTCGTTGAAAGTGGGAGACTCAAAAGCTATTCTGTCGTTCCGAGCCTTGTGGTGCAAAGAAAGGTCTCCACGAGCGACGTCATGGTTGGGAAAGGCACGGGCAGCAAGTGGAAAGATCGTCTCACCAATGGCATCCTTCAAGATCTTGAGACCTCGGAAAGCAGTTAAAGGACACAGAATTGCCACAACTATGTTATCGTCAGTCCCCTAGGTCTCTTGTGTCAAATTCGTGTAACTACCTTGATAGCTGGCGCAGCAACGGTGGCTGCTTCAGTTCATGATGGTGTGTGTCCTTTTTACCCCCTCAGGAACTTCCCCACTAAATTAACGCAAAGCTTAGGCTATGAATATCAGTGTTTTTTTTTCTCCTTTCTCCTGTTCGGACGCGACAGCTAATACAAGTTTCTGCGAGATTTTGACTCTTTCTCAGAAGGAGCTTTATCCCATGAGCGCGTGGTCTCTTGCTGCAGAACAAGAACTACCTCACCAGAAGAAGAACGCGAGTTACCAGTGGCGAATTGACTCGGAGAACTCACAGTTCGTTCTGTAGTCCGGTCAGTATCGGGCACCAATTTCAGACGACGCTTATTGGTGACAAGCATGCCCATGAATTGTTCTGGAATTGTTCCAGGAATATAATCAAGTTGCGCCTCCGTAATTAAAGCATTGCTCCAGGTCACGCTCTTTTGCCTTCCATGAACAGGTCTATCAACTGTCCTCGCTTAACATCTCAGGCGCCCACAAGGTTCTAATCCACGGAGATCATGACAAAATATTCTCATGAGTCTACGCCAAGCAGACAGGGCCCGTAAATACTCGACAGCGGCGTTGACGCCTGTTGAATTTCGAGTGGATATAGCTGTTCCTTGCATTTCTCCTAAGGTATGAATTCTTCGAATTTCGTACCTTGTACCGCGAATATTTCTCCTCTAGGTGTCGGACTCGATGCTGCGCGTTCGATCTCGTATCGTGCTCGCCCAGGCTCAATTTCAGCAGACCCCTTAACCTCAGTGAGAACTGATAAAAATAACTTTCCGATCGCTCCCGATGGCTCACCGGAAATACAGACGAAACTCACATCGGCAAATCTGGCACTCGGAACGACCGCGAATTCACTGGCGTGTTTTCAGTCGCCGTTTACTGAGACCCACTGCGAGGATGTCTGTCTAAATTGGTTCTCAGCTGAGCATGTGGAAGGAAGGGGCTTATCGCATGGGCCTACCTACGATGTCCACCCGCGCAAGCCCGTGTGGTTTCGTTATAAGATGGGTGTCACCCGCAAGATACCTCTCTCTGTGCATCGCCCGTTCGCCCATACAATGGCTGAAAGCACGCCTCAATCTACGCCCCGCCAGGATAACTCTCCGAGCCCAGACGTTGAGAAGGGGTATCAGGATGAGCCCAAGATTCTCAATGGTAAGCAAATCCCGCTCTAATCCGTATTCCTTCCTCAGAGATGATTTCAGAGTCTGAGATTGCGGTATGTACTGGCCAACCTTTCCAATTCAAAACGATTTCCTCTTTTCAAACTCAAGCTCAATCCATACAGGAACTCACCGGAGCCCAGTTCGACGACCCGAACTTGGACAAGGAACATATTGTCTCCTTCGACGACGAGAGTCCTTATCCCGAAGTCCGCTCCGCTGTCGCTAACACCGATGACTTCCACATGCCCCAGATGACTCTGCGGGTATGGGTGATCGGGATAGCTGCGGCCATCGTCATCCCGGGCCTCAACCAGTTTTTCTTCTTCCGGTTCCCGTCCATCACTATTAGCGGCATCGTGGCGCAGCTGGTCTCATTCCCTATCGGACGTGCTTTCGCAGCCTGGCTTCCCAACTGGAAAATATTTGGCGTTTCGATTAACCCGGGGCCGTTCACTGTAAAGGAACATGTTCTTATTACTGTGCGTTTATGATGACGTTGTCGCGTACCATTGACAATATTGAACTGTATTTTAGATCATGGTCAATTTCTTTTGGCATTTTTGGACAATTTTTTCCCGCTGATGAACGAACAGGCCTCGGTTGTCCGCGTATGCGACTGACGTCATTGCAGTACAAAGGGTTTACTACAACCAGATTTACAACTTCAGCTGTGAGCACTTGATCTTTCTTCGCTTCCCAGATGGTTAATCACAAATCATCAAAGACCAATGGTTCGTCGTGATGTCAACTCAGCTCATTGGGTTCTCCATTGGAGGAGTCGCCCGTCGTTTCCTCGTCGCACCACCATCCATGATCTGGCCCGCGAACCTCGTGAACTGTGCCTTGTTCAACACTTTACATTCCCAACAATATGCGGGTATCGGAAATCGAGGAGGGCTCAGCCGCGAGAGATTTTTCGTGTATGCCTTCACCGGTGCATTCGTGTGGTGTGAGAAAGGATTCCTCCGACTGCAAGCCCTGGTTTACCGTCTGATGTGCCTCCTAGATTTCTTCCCAGGATATATTTGTACGTCCTGCGCCACACTGTATCGCTATCTTATCTCATATCTCCATTCGATAATCCAGGCCCTGTCCTATTTCTCTTGGGTTACCTGGATTCGCCCCGAAAACACCAGTAAGCTTTCGGGGCGATTTTTATTCTACCAGACACTCATCCTGCTTCAGCTATCTCGCAGTTGTTCGGGTACGTTGTTCTTGCAAATTTGGGCCGTGTTGTCGCACGAACCCCCATGATAGATATGTCCATGGAATGGGAATGTCAGTCATAACTTTCGACTGGAGCCAGATCGCGTACGCGTATTCTCTCTCTCCTCATCGGGATGTAACCTTCATATTTCTATGCTTAGGTACATCGGTTCACCCCTTGCTACTCCTTGGTGGGCTGAAGCGAATATTTTCGCCGGCTTCGTTTTCTTCTTTTGTACGTCTTTCGATCGCCTTTCGGGCATTCTTAAAGTAAGAATATACCCTTGGAATTATAGGGTTCTTGACGCCGGTATTGCACGTACGTCTACATTCCCTGTCATTGTCACTACATTCCGTCCTCACATTGTCAAGTTTACCAACACTTGGTTTGGCGAATACATGCCGTACGCATCTCCGTTCGTAAATCTGTCCCTTCAAATAATAAAAGGACTAGAATTTCCTCGAGAATTTCTTACGACAATCAAGCGAAAACTTATGACGTTAATCGGATATTGACTCCCGATTCTACCTTTGATCTCGCAGCATACAAGGCGTACAGCCCTCTCTTCCTTTCGTAAGTCATCGGTAACTCTACATTAGGTTTCAGCTGATACTGTTTAGGACGACGTTTGCGATTTCATACGGCCTTTCGTTTGCCTCGATCACCGGTTTGTCTTTGCTCTTGCTGAATGAAAGAGTATGGCTAACCGCTGTCCCTGCTCAGCCACCCTTATGCATGCTTTCTTGTACTTCCGCAAGCAGATATGGGTCCAAGCTCGCCGTTCATTGCACGAGCAGCCCGATATTCATGCCAGGCTCATGTCCAAATATCTTCAAGGTATTTGAGTCGCGTTTTCGAATGGACAATGTTGGAGTTTCTAACGAAACTGTGTAGTTCCAGAATGGTGGTATCTCACCATCTTCTTGAGCATGTTCACCATCGGTATTATAAGCATTGAAGTCTGGCCGACGTAAGTCTTAAGCTACCATGCGCGTGACGCAGTCTAACTCTATCAGTGAAATGCCTGTCTGGGCGTTCGTCCTCGCCCTCCTGATTGGTATTCTTTTTTTAACAACCAGTGATCCTCTCTGACCAGGAGCGGGCAGCTTTCACCTACGTCATTCCCATCGGAATGATTCAGGCCATCACTAACCAGCAAGTCGGACTCAAGTGAGCTGATGATTTGTCTTTGAGATAGACCTGTTTTGACGCGAGTCGTATAGCGTTATCACCGAATTAATTATTGGGTACGCACTTCCTGGAAGGCCAATTGCCATGATGATGTTCAAGACCTGGGGTTACATTGTTGGAGCCTATTTATCAGTTACTCCGACTCCAAGCTGACGAATGTGCAGACGATGGCCCAGGCGTTGACTTTCACCTCAGATTTCAAGCTTGGCCACTATATGAAGATCGCACCCAGGCCCATGTTCTGGTGCCAGGTCGTAGCCACAGTTGTTGCAGGGACGGTTCAGCTCGGGGTGCAGGCCTGGATGTTCACGAATATCCCGTCAGTCAGATTTCTGCGATTTCTGGAGAGTATTGACATTGATCATATACTAGTGATATGTGCTCTCCGGACCAGCGAGACGGATTTATCTGCCCCAGTACTGAGGTATTCGGTGCTGCAAGTATAATTGTGAGACTTTCATCGTCCGACTCTGCCGGCTTTTCAATTTCTAATGCAACTCTATGTAGTGGGGTGCGTTTCCATTAGGTCCTATTTTGCGTGGGGAGATTCACGCCCTTTCGACCAGGGGTCATCGGGCCAGCTCTTCAGTTCTCAAAGGGACAGACGTACTAGTGAGGTTTCCGCCCCAGGCTGGTCTCTTGGTATTGTTACTTATCGATTGGTGTAGTCCGCTCGTGTTCTTTTTCCTAGTCGGCGCAATTGCTCCCGTCATCCCGTGGGCGTTGGGCAAGAGATATCCAAACAGCCTCTTGAAATATATCAAGTAAGCAATCTGATTTTATCCAAGCGATTCCACTGCTGAACCTGCCGTTAGCACGTAAGTTCTTTGTCCCGAATATGGGGCAAGTTCCTGAGGCTAATTGCGAAACGAAAGGCCGGTGATTTTTAATGGAACAGGACTTATCCCTCCTGCCACCGCTGTCAACTATATTCCTTGGGCGTGCGTCGTTGTGCTTTCAGAAGCTTTTGTTTAAGCTGACCGTTCTGACCTCTGCAGCGGAGTCGGATTCATCTTCCAATATCTGATCAGAAGGTGGGCACGAAGGAGCTGCATGCTGTTTTCAGAGTGTTGATGCAATTGTCAGACGGCATTTCTCTTGGTGGACCAAGTACAACTGTACGTTTTATCTCAGGCCACTCTTCTACAGCGGTTAATCCGGAAGCCGAAGACGTTCTATCCGCCGCTCTTGATTCTGGACTCGCCATTTCGATTCTTGTGATTTTCTTCGCTCTGCAATTCCCAAAAAATGGCACGGTACGTTATTTCTAAGGACCTCTGATTCTGATCAGAACATGACAACTAATTATGTACGCAATACATACTCTAGATTGGGGAGACGAGCATCCTCAACTGGTGGGGGTGAGTTATTTGTTCCCTTTTGTTGTATTTTATTCACTGAATTGCCGTTCGAACAGAAACACGGTCCCATTTGTCGGTGCAGACTTCGCCGGAACACCAGTGCGCCCTCTGGAACCAGGGAATAAATTTGGGTACGTTGGTTATCAGTCCTCTAGCTGATTCGAAGGTAAACTAATCTGCTTCTAAGACCGACGACCTGGTGAAGTTCTTGCCAGCGTTAGAAGTTGCCAAGGCCCACTGTATTTTAGTCCTAGTTCATGAACTTCGTCAGGAATCGTCGATCCTATATCATGAATGGCGGACAGTAAATGAGCTTTGTTCCATGATGACAATTAAGCGCCCATCGTTAATCAGGCCCGACGTACCCCAATGGGCGTTAACAAATTAGTCCTGAACTCGTTTTAACCACTTGGAAAGGGTCCTGGCGGCATTACTCGGAGATTCGAGCGTACGTAGCCCCTTGATAAATCTGTTCTTCGGGCAGAACCCTGGCTTTCCCATCGACGGAGACTCCTCGGGGAAACGGTGATTGCGAAGCAATTGCGTTTCTACGGGTCAGAATATTAGAAGTTTCTACCCTTCAGTCTTCTACATTACGCCTTTCTTCTAGAGACGCTTGGCCATGAGAGCCCCTGCGACGAACGTGCGTATGGAGCCCCCAGCAGTTGGTCAGCAGCCCACTTGCGGGGCTATCTCGCCGCATTCAAATATACTTCACTGACACACGGATATTTGGGTTGAGGTCTTCAGGTTACATACATAGAATAGGTGCGAAGCTCTCAATTTTTATCCCTTGATACATACCCAAGTGTCTACGGCATGACATCAGAATATTTTTTGTGAGCCCGCATATGCCATGCTGCTATTGGGGTTCTCTCTTCGATGCCCTGAAGGCAAAATTGTTGAAATGTAGCGACAGTGGTGTCTCACTAGCAAAGAATCAAATGCTACCTTGTTGTGGACATTGCAACTAAAAGACGCGGCCAGCAACCTTCGCAGACAAATCAAAGATTCCATCACGAGATCTACTAATTTATGAATCCGTTGGTCTTACTGGCGTAGGAGGACTATTACTGGTGCTGTCAGAGATTAACTAACAAAACTTTCAACTTTATAAGACATGAATTTAACCATAGTGGCAGCTTAATTTCGGACTGGTGAAATGGGGTTGACGACCTCGAGAATTTCCCTTGGCGATGATGTCGATCGTCTTGGCAGCCACGAGCTCGAATGCTTCTTTTAAGTTCCTTTTCTCTTCTCTCCCATGTGCTCTGCTTCTTGCATGTGTCGTTCACAAATTCGCAGCGTAGAAATTCTTCCGACAAAGATCAAGTCTCAGCTCCCTGAACAGATGGAAGAAAGACACAGAGTCAAGTTACTGGACATGGTTTGTCTTCTGTATCTCAGTGTGCTGTAACTTGACTACATACAGGCTTCAAGCTTGAATAATGAGCAACAGACACGTTCAATGCGCTTAAATACGCTGGGTTTTCATGTTTTGGAATCACGGAGACAGGCCTAATTAGGTTTGAGCAATAAGGAATCTCGACAGCGCAACAAATTGTCTGGAACCTTTCAGGGTACTTCATGACAGGATTCTCTATGTCGTTTCCTGTGCGCGATACAATCATACATGACCAGCACTGGAACTGGCTGACATCACATACATATATTCACCGAATGTTAGGTTGAAGAAGCCCGTCGTGCTTCGGAAGGGTCCAGTGGCCAAGGTCTATAAAGACGGCTCGCTTTCGGGGTCTATCCTCATCGTCGCATTCCCCGTCGACGCTTTCTTCTCTGGTTCTCTTGTCAGCATATCGCAAGATGCACTACTTCAAGGCACTCTCCTACGCTTTGGCCCTTGCATCTGCTGTTCTGGCAGCACCCAGCGACGCATCTGACACAAACCCTTACATCGGCAAGACCCCCTTTGCTAACAAGGGATATGCGCTGAAACTCGAGGAGACCATTGCCTATTTCAATGAACAGGGTGATTCCTTGAACGCTGCTAGGACACGCACAGTGCAGAAAATCCCCACCTTCGCTTGGATTTCGGAAATCAAGAACATACGTCGTGTGACTCATGTCTCTGCAGGCACCCGGACCAAATGTTCACCTTAAGCCCTAGATTGCGGATATTCCAGGTCTTATTAGTGACACCCTCGAGGCTCAAACAGCGACAGGCGAGAAGCAACTCCTTCAAATAGCCGTCTACAATTTGCCCGATCGCGATTGCTCTGCAAAAGCCTCTGCTGGAGAGCTCGTCCTGGCAGATGATGGGCTGAACAAGTACAAGAAGTATATCGATGGTAAGCCTTTCTTCCTGTTTGAAGTTCCCTCTGTCTAATATTTTCCCAAAGATATTGCCACAGAATTGCAAACCGAGTCAGCGCAGCAACTCAGCTTTGCTCTCGTCATTGAGCCCGACTCGCTCGGCAACATCATCACCAACCTGGATGTCCCCAAGTGTGCTGGAGCTGCTGACGCATATAAGGAGGGCATCGCATATGCTATCGCCAAACTGCAGATCCCAAATGTTGCGCTCTACATCGACGCCGCTCACGGTGGTTGGTTGGGGTGGGATGACAACCTCGGCCCTGCTGCTGCCCTATTCGTCGAGGTTCTTGAAGGCGCGAAGAAACTCGTCCCCACCGCCACTGTCCGTGGCCTCGCGATTAACGTCTCCAACTACAACCAGTACATAGCTGTGGCACGCGAAAACTACACCGAGTTCAGCAACAGCTGGGACGAGTGGCACTACATGAACTCGCTCGTGCCACACCTAGAAGAGAACGGCTACCCTGCGCACTTCATCGTCGACCAAGGCCATTCAGGCAGAGGCGCCATCCGCACGTCGTGGTCACAGTGGTGCAATATTCGTAACGCGGGCTTCGGCACACACCCTACCACTGATCAAGCCATTCTCAATAACACATACGTCAATTCGATCGTTTGGGTCAAGCCTGGAGGCGAGTCGGATGGCACATCGGACACCAACACAACGTGGTTCGACGAGACCTGCCGGAGCCCCATTGCCCATGTCCCAGCTCCTGAGGCAGGTGATTGGTTCAACAACTTTGTCGTCAACTTGGTGACGAATGCAGAGCCTCCTCTGGAACCCACCTACCTCTAACCGTGTCGCGATGGATTTACTACTGCATCAGTTGAATGTACTTAATGTCAATGGACCTCTGCGTCGTTCGTTTTTGGGATAGTCGCCTGAAAGCAGAAATATTCTTGGTCTCAGCTCTAAGCAGCAGACCAGCAGGAAGTATGGCACGGAGAAAGATATTGGATGAGTCAAAACGCAATGCTACTTTTATCTACTCGTTCGCATACTTGGAGTCCAACCACTTCCTGACTTCCCCTCCAGGCGGAAATTTATCGAGGTTCTGCAGAGCCAGTGATTTGAACTGCGATCTAGTCAACTTGAAGACAACTGAATCTTCTCCCAGGATCTCCACAGCCTCCTGCCGCACAATTGTCTCATTCTTGAACTGATCGGCCTTGTCTTTCAATGGGCCATTGATCATGGTAGAGTAGTATGCCCACGAAAATGCCTCTCGGTTGGTCTCCTTCTCGCCAAAGAAATGCTCAAATAATGGATGGAACAGTTGCCCGCCCATCCAGTATGGAAACGACACAAGCTGTTCGAAGAGATACACCCCATGAGACGCTTCAAAGGCCTGGGACAGGGGAAGTCCGCCATCTGGATCGAGCTTTCCTTCGGCCTCATGCATGAGGCGGTTGAACATTGTTTGATCCTGCTTATTTCGTGGCCTCATGGGATGATCGCCTTCCCAGAATGGATGATCGACGATGAAGAGAGGGTACTGCGTGAACGAAGAAGTCGGGCCAGTGAAACTGCCTTCCCAATCAAGGATGGCAGTAATACGTGGGGAAGGCGTGTTGGCGTCGATGATGAGAATGTTCTGTGAATGAAAATCACTGTGATTTATGGGAAAGCCTTTAGTGTTGAGAGAGGTGTTGTATAATGAAGGAACGAGGGAGCGGTGCAACCAGGCATAGACATAATCATAGTCTTTCATGCTACCGAAGTTATTTCTGTCTATCCGTTTGATGTTGCGGGTGGCATAGGTGATCCAGTAGTCGAAAGCGCTCGTGAAAGTTTTGTCAGCCCCTTCAGGCCAGATTGTCCATATTTCATCACTATTGATCTTTGTCAAGGGAAGGGTCATCCAAGACGAGTGGTCCGTCCCTCCCTTCCTTTTGAAGATGGCACCGATGCTTTCAAATCGCAAGGATGAAAGCTGGAGGATTATCTCGACAACCTGTCGCAGCATGACTTCGCATTGTTCAGCCTGCATTTCGTTCCAAACTGAACATAAGGGGGTTCCGTCTGCCTTTGACATATTCATATACGGGAAACCAATGCCTCCACCATCTGACGAAGAACTGTAGGCGATGACGTGGGGAACGGGGATGTGACTATGCGAGGAAACATATTCCATGGTGGCCACCTCGCTTTCCATGGCGAGCCTGGAGAGTTCCTTCTCCTTCTCGTTGATTCCTTCCTCCAGCGTGTATGGTACTCGGATCACAACTTTGACGTCCTCATTGCTGCACAGTTTGAGGAAGCGAACAAGATTGGAAGCACCATGAAGCTGTGCGCCCCAAGTAAAGGTACTGGCTTGATAAATGTCGACTGCAAGCGCAGCAAGTGCACTCCAATTGACAGCCTGGAGAGTACGTTCCAAATGTGGGGGGTAGTGATCATGAGCACTGCTGGCTGGAGAAATGGGGGTTTCCATGGCGGATTGATCGATGTGGGGGCACAGTCTTGACTCTCGCCGATATAAATATTATGGTGGACCATCATCAGGCTATCTCCATTCGGACTACCTGCTTTCGCTGCCCAACGGCATGGCGATGTCGATAAGGTATGGTACTGCCTTATTCCAGAAGATATCAATTGGACTAATTTATGAACACCGGCGGTGTAATAGGCATTCACCCATTCTGCGAGGGATGGCGATTTTAAATGCCAGGGAGACTCAAGTTCAGCTCTGACTTTTTAAGAGCATGTTCACCTGCTGCCAGTGTTCCCACTCTCAATTCCATATCGTATACAAAGATTAACACAAAGCGCGGAGCGGCAAGGTCAAATAAAATTCAATCTACAATTTGTTCCATCCTCATGTCATTGACTTCGGTTCGTAAGCGCCAATATAAATTATATGGGAGGAGAGAATCTTACCGTCTTGACCCGAGTAACTAGTGTCGACATTTAGCCTTCATTCTGGTTCATTATCTCCCTATTCACTATTTTAAATGTGAGCTACTTCGTAGTCTTGCGGAATGCGAGCAGATACCTCTAGCAATGCATGCTGGACAATACTTGCCCTGCCTGAGTACGTACTTACCACATCCACCTCCACAGGCCGCATAGTTGCCACACTTGGGGCAGTTCTCCCCACTGGGGACCATTCCCGAACAGTTTGAAGTCGCTGCACAGTGATGTTGTTTATGGGCTCCTTTCGCCATCGGTGTAGGATGTTGAGAGCAGTTGGTTTGGCATTTACGATCAAGCACTGTATGGGTGCCAGTTCACGGGTGGTAATATTGTTCTAGTCTCGCCTGACCGTAGTTACTTATAGCTTTTCAGCCATTGCATTCTCCCCTCACATCCACTGTTTTGGAATCCCACTGCAAAAGGCCCGTAAAACCTGTTCAGGTGACTGTCAATGTTGGGGAGTATACCTGCCATTCCAACAGTATGCTGAGAAGTTCACAAACTATGGACACACAGACGTCAACCGATTTGAACTCTGACGCAAAACGAGTCTGTTATTCTCAACCCCATTCCGCCGAAAGAAGGCAATACCCTTCCATCGATTCCTTGGTATCTTTCCCTGATTATTCATAGTTCCAGTAGCTCAGAATCTTTTTCCTTAGAAATTTGCGTGCGTTCTGATGCCTGGTCATGTAATTGCGCTGGGTTTGTGTGTTGACTCGTTCTCCCCATTGATTTGGAGTTCCTTCCTCAAAAGTAAGCTGTCAGCTTCATCAAATTCACCTATTGTGGCTCTATTATTCTCAGAGCTCCTCTGCAGTATCCGTCTAGTGGAAATGCTGTTCTCCAATGCCAATAAATCAGAAGTCTTGCGACTCGGAGTAACACATGATCGTGATTTTCACTCCCACCTTCACTTATAACTAAGGGGTTCGACATGACTCCGACTCTAAGCGTTTCTCTACAGATGCACAGCGCAGGGGAGGCACACAGGTTGTAAGAAGCGCCTGTGACCATTGAACCGGATATAGGTCGTCTCATGACACTGTCTGATTTGCATAGGCACTGATTCACTCATACTCTCTAGCTTGAATGTATCTCCTGAAACTTATCAGATGCTGGACCTCCAGGACCAGAAGAGGTGTCCTTGAGTTTTTCTATCGCCCCAATAGTTGGTTTCATTAGAGTTGCATATCCCCTTCTCAGTGAAAGGGTGCCACAAGTGCCATAAGATGATTAAGCCCGGATAATGGAATGCAATTGCCGCCCATGGATGGGTGGCATTCCACCATGCGGACATTCTTTCCACAGGTGAGAAAGGGCACGGTATCCAAATCATACTAGACCAATACGGGCAAATGAAAAATAGCAGATACAATTCAGAGCATTTGGGAAGTTCTGGTGCGAAGCTTAGGCACGAGGTACTGGTCTAGTAAGACCTGTTGGAGAACGATAGATGGAGGCAAGGAAAAGAGTGGACAACGAAATTCTTTGTCTATCAGATATGCAGAGCACTGGGTGATTGTTATACATTCGGACTACCTTGATTGCTTAATTTCGTGCAGAATGGCTGGTACAGCGTCACAATTCTTAACCCTCAGTACTTGGCAATCCCTCAAGCAGCTACAATAGTGAGGTGGTTCAGAATAGAGAAATGATTACATATTAATGCATATAACTTCTTTCAACAAGCCATATAACCACCCCCTTTACTGGGAGAGAGGATTAAGGCTAACACAGCACGGGCGCTTAGCATCGCGCCTCGTGACATGTGGGCCACACAAGTCACATACTTAATCATAATGAACAATTCATCAATCTTCCTTCAATCACGTCGTGCGGGCACCGGCCTGGAGACCTTTCCGCTCAGTTTCCTCAGCTTATCTGAGAAAACGAGTGATTCAAATTCCCAGGTTTTGAGGGTTGAGTCACTGACTCATGTGGAAGAAAATTGCGGTGTTCTAAGGCATAATCACTTCCGCAATCCTACCCCTGCGATGGCATTAGAGTGTTTAGTCTCCCTAATTGAGAGGCAGCTGTGAGATGCATGTCAGTGACAGGCCTTGTCCCTGCACAAGTTTCAATCAAACTATATTCAGTGCTTCCACAGCCCTAGGGCAGGGGTCTCAAGACACTGGTCTATCAGGGCCTTTTCAGAGAAAATGAACCTCAGAGCAGATATTGTCTACAGCATCCCGTGTGCGTGTCAGACTCGGGAACCGTGATTTCAATTGTGCGGGTAATTCGTATTTGATTTCCCATCTTCATCAGTCAGATGCCCTGTCCATAATCTGATGGACTGAAGGGTTAAAGAATCACATACCCCCATGGTTATATGGAGGGGAGCCAAAGCTTCGAATTACTGGCAGAAGGTCAACGAAATGGAAGTCATCCACAAGGCCACCTTGAAAAATCTTTTTGGCGGTCCTAGGGGCGGCATTCTTCAGATAACCGGCTATTCTTTTCCTGGAAGAAAAGATTCCTGGGTGACCCCAAACGACTGTGTGCTGTGCAGCATCGAATATAAGTACAGGCTTGTTGGGGAGGGGCCATCCAAGTTCCCACTACCACCCAGAAACTTTAAAACACTTCCAACAGAGATGCCCTCCCAGTCCGACAATACTCACGCCAGCGTAAAATGCGGATTGTCCACTTGTAAATGCGCTAGCTACTCTTTGTGCGCAAATGGATGCGGGAATCTTGTCTCTACAGCCGGACGCCATTGTCCCGCCTGCAGTACGTATTTTTCTCCAAGCCATAAGGTGGGCATTTCTAACAAATATACTTAGGTGATGCGGCGCGAAGGGCTGCACAAGCTCAGAACGGCCAGTGATTCGCGTCAAGCATGGTCTGGTTTGTGTCAGCTCAGCTTTAATTATTTATCCTTACGGCATTTTGCAGGTGAATACGATGATGCATCTTCAAGCGAAGGACAAGTAGCTATTTGAGATGAAACGAGATATATAAACTGCTGTGTAGTATGAGAAATTCAAGTCCTTGATTGTCTTTTACATGTGATAACATCATTAAAATGGTCCCGTTAGTGTGGTTTGCGACTTTGAGGTGGAATATTTTCAACACTGCAACCTGATATCATCCGTGATACTATCAACAGCTACCCAATCCAGAAGGGGGGAGGACACCTAGGAGTCCGGTGTGCGTATGGTGCGCCATTTGGGCGCTTACTTGTCACGACACCAGTTACATAATGATCGATGATCAAACCGATCAGTTCAAGTTCCTAGATCATATAGATCCTGCGTCTCCCTGGACGTTGCGCCAACGACAAGTGCTCAGATAGAGCTAGAAGTTCCCGAATAATTGCTTTCAAGACCATTAATGCCGGAAGGCCCTGGGCTAGTCCATAACGCGCGCCGCCCCACTGCCACAGCGGCTGTATGAAGCATTGTGATCAGTTCAAATAGATGATATACACTCATGAAATACTCACAACACCGGTCAGAAAATTGTGAACGTGTCAGATAATGCATGCAGCTCATGAAACGAGCCAATCATTTGGGTGCCTCACAACGCACCTACCCTGACGTCGATCATTCATGAACATTAGTGGAGATTGCCACTTGGCGGGTCTCTCGTCTTGGATTATATGACATTGTGAACGGGTCTGCAATGTTTTAATGAGATCATAACAATTGTTGTGAGCCATAACTAATTGTCGTCGCTCACAACGCATCGTCATATTCTCGAGGTTTTGCTGATGTATATGAGCCTGCGCCAGCTCGACCACAGGGGCAGCGTCCTACCATCGCAGACTGCGACGCCACATCATTTGGAGCTTGCATAAATTCGGGCAGGCATAGAGGAAGGGCGATGTGTACTTGAACAGACACACAGCGTGGATATGCGGATATGAAGGGAATGCATTTTGCAGCTTGCTGAGCTTGAAATTTAGCCGGACTGTGTCAGGGTCTGTAGGTTTGGGAAGAGGGTCAGACGGCGAGCCAGCTCTGGAAGTACCGTATCGGCGGGGTATTCGAGGACAGCCACCGTGACGTTAAAAAATAAAATGTGATAAGCAGGTCCATGGAAGGTTCGAAAGAACCTACTTGACGTAGACGGCCATATTCAGCTCAAGCTATGAGACAAGATCCTCCACGAACTTTCTGTCAGGATTGGTTGCCAGAGCCAGGGAAGAAAGACGCATCGGAGGGGTCTGCTAGAGCGCGAGAAGAGTTGGATGTCAGTTGCAATGTGTCTCATCAATCATAGTAGGAGTAGGAGATAGTATTTCCAGGTAAATTTCGTTGGGGGTACTGGAAGTCCTTGCGCATTGAGTGGTATTCCTTTTGCTATGAGCTCTTGCCTTGCGAGCATCTCGACGCGATTTGAGCGTGTCCTTGGAGCCATTTCTCCAGCATAAACACTTTTACTGGTTTGAGCGGCCAAAATTTCAAGGACAGTGCAAGGATTCAGGTAGAGTATTGGGTTTTCGTTCAAACGTTCAATGTTTACATAAGGATGGAGTTGGACAGGAAGGTACTTAGAAGCGATCCGGTCGATTTGTCATGCCTGGAAGAAGCCGAGTAATCACCGCAAGCGACGGTCGCCGCTCTCATCTGCACATCCAACCTCATCCAACAGCTCCAGCGCTTGTCCTGGATATTGTAAGGTCCCAGAAACACGCTCCAATTGAAGCAAGACCCTGGAAAGACAGGCCCTACTAGCAAGTGGACAGCCAGTGAACATTAAGGGGACTACCTGCGCTCGCCGACGAGATCTACCTCAAATCGTCTCCTACCTCCCATCGATCTCCATCTGACGACCCCCTCGACTTTGCTCTTCAAGCTCACCATGATCAGCACATGACCCTGACGCTCTCGACGACCTGCCGTTCGCTGCGGCGCGTCTTCCTCCGTTACAGATCGAGGTAGCGGACGGGATGCACACAATCGCTGGGCCACTTACGATGTCGACTCCAAAAAAGCCTCTGGCGATACCCAAAATTCACGCCGAGGAGCTCGTGCGTCAACTCGAGATTGTCACCATCCGGGAACCAGAGCTGGGAGTGCACGTAAAGTAAGTCGTTCACTTCTCCACACCTCATCGTAACTTATTTTCAGCCAGTGTCCTGAATCTGACAATTCATGAATACGCAATGAAGACCGTCGTCCCTGAACTTGTGCGCTGTATCGCCCTCTTCCCCGACCTCCACGCCATTCAGCTCAACTTTTAAAAGTAAAAAAGAATCACCTTTCTTTGCTCGATTTGTTCAAAGAAAACACATACCCGCATATCCGACACGCCTGTCTCTCTGAGTCAGCAGCGGCCGTTCTCCCTCGTTGGTGGGGATAAGACGCTTGGACGCGTACATGGACGTCCCATGGAATCTCCCCTTTGAGAATGTGCTCGTCCACCCTCAGCTTGAAGTCCTTGCTTCTCCGCCTTTCGAGGAGAAGGCTTTCACGTGTAAGATTTCGTTGGTTGTGCATAGTCAATTCATTGACTGAACGTGCCTTGTTAGATATCGTGAAGCTCCCAAACCTGCAGGAAATACAGTTCGACCGCGGCGTCTTGAGGTTCAGTGTGTCGTCAGTCCAGTATTTCTACCACTTTTACGACAATGCGCCAGCGAACCCCTCATATACTCGAAGCCGAGTCAAGAAGGGATCAGGCAGTAGGTCGAGTAGGCGAAGAAAGCCCCGACGAATGTTAAATACTCTGATGACGTTGAGAAGAAGGGTGTTGTTTTGGTAAGGATGGATGGGCACAAAGAGGTGCCCAGGGCTCGAGCTTGTCCTGGCAGATGATGGGCTGACATTGCCGCAGAACTGCAAACCAAATCGGCACAGCAACTTAGCTTCACTCGTCATCGAGTCCGACTCACTCGGCAACACCAACCTCGACGTCCCAAGTGCGCTGACGCTGCCGATGCGTACAAGGAGGGCACCCCCTACGCCATCGTCCGGCTCCAGATCCCCAGTGTCGCGCTCTACTCTATGTATATCTACGCCGGGCACGGCCGCTTGTTGGGTTGGAAAGACAACCTTGGGTCCGCTGTCATCCCAACGCCACTGTCCACGGTCTCGTAATCAACGTCTCCAACTACAACCAGTATATCGCTACGAAAGAACTACACAGATCTCAGCAATAGCTGGGACGAGTGACACGTGAGCTCGCTCGTTTCACACCTCGAGGAGAACGGCCTGTGGATCCAAGGTCATTCAGGTGGAGACGCCATCCGCTAGTCGTGGCCGCAGTGGTGCACTATCCGTAACGCGGGCTTCGGCGCACGCCCTACCATAGATCAAGCCATCAAGTTAACAACACCCACGTCAGTTTGATTGTTTGGGTGAAGTCCGGAGGCAAGTCGGACAACACATCCAACACCAACGCTACGAGATTCTGCCGGCTCATCTCCTGAGGCCAGTGCTTGGTTCAACTACATGCCATAAAGGTACCAAACAACTTTCTTGAAGCCTTTCACCTTCACATTGTGCAAGGCCATAGCCTCCGCCTGCGTCCAATAAGAAATGAAGCTGACAATCGGAGCAAGTGGACAACATTGAAGCTAAAAAAAAGAGCTGAAGAGTCCTAAGCCCAAACGAATTCGAGCGATCTGCTTCACCTCAACTGTATAACAGAGGAGGGGTTGCCTACATGGAGCATGACTCGACTCTGAGAGGAAAGCGCTTAAGCGACCATGCGCTCGCAAGGTGAAATACTAGTGCATGCGGTTCTCGTATTGACGTATGTACATAATCTTCATCGAAAGAGCTTAATCTATTATGTTGTAGTCCGCCGCCACCCACCGAATCACCTCGCCCCCTGTGGCAAATTTATCTAAGTGTTGCTCGATTATAGCCTGTCTTTGAGGTTCGTTTGGTTAGCACTTTTCTTGTGTAGCTAAGTACTAGGTTAATTACTGCCTGCGTAGCTAGCTAGATTGTGGGCGAGGCACAGAGTGCCTTCCAGCCCATCGTGGGGACCTTTTTCGAGACGAGCGGAGACGGGCGGGCGGGATTGCTAAGCTGCCCGTTCAGAGCCTTGTCAGGCCTTGTCAATGTCTTCCGCTTGTGAAATGGGTCCTCACGAGAGGCTGAAGCGTCAATATAATATGCTATTAGGCAGCTCAAGAGGGAGTGGTGGGTGGGTGAGATTTTGAAGCACTCAACGCGGCCATTGAGGGGCGGCATTGAGGCTGAGCAAGCCTTCGAGGCGAGATGGTGGTGGCACGAAGCAGAGAGCGTCACGTGCCGCCCGCCACTCGCTCGAAGACTTAGTTCTATCCTTTCATTCGTTCCTCACTTCACTTTAGAACTGCAATCTTTGAGGTTCGTTTGGTTAGCACTTTTCTTGTGTAGCTAAGTACTAGGTTAATTACTGCCTGCGTAGCTAGCTAGATTGTGGGCGAGGCACGGAGTGCCTTCCAGCCCATCATGGGGACCTTTTTCGAGACGAGTGGAGACACCCAGCCGGAGTAGGAATGCGTGGTCATGACGCGCTGAGTGAGTCTCGGTCAGTCCCCATCGTAAGAAGGAGTGAGCACGGGTTCCGAACGATTCAGAGATCTGCACTTAATATATGGGCTTCTCGTTGTGAGCACCAGAGACTAAACCCAGTTGGAGAGATGAGGATGGCTTGTAGTAGTCTCCTATAGGATTGTATGAATTTGCACATGAGCCATCTGGAAATGCACATAATCGTGACTCAGATATCTTAGCGCCTGTAATGGCTGTGCATTTGTTGTGAATTTGAGCCCTGCTATCCCGTGGATTTTCCGTGCTGTGGCCGCAATTTGCTTATTGTCAATCTGTATATGCCTCTAAGAAACCTCAATTCCCTTTTCTGGGCGGCCGGTGCATGTCCGTGAGCAAGATACACCTGGTATATGGTAGGTCACCGGGACACCCTACCATAAATAGCGGACAGAAGACACGCTAAACCTAGCTTTCCGGGTTCCCTGAACCTCTGCATCTTCATATTCTAAAACTTGGACCAGTAATATGTCATGAAGCCCGGCTTTCTGCACCATGGACCAAGGCTAATTAGCTTGTTTTCCCCTTCATCTTCGTCTGGGAAAGGGTATTGCGCTGATTCGGACTTGTGTCACATCGCCGCTGAACAGATCATCTCTGTGGTTAGCATGTCAGCTACTTAGGATTTTCCAAGTGATAGATTTATTTTGTGACATGAAAGAGCCGAGGATTAAATATATATTCGGCCATCGGAATGGTTGGCATGAGGAGTAGGTTTTGTCCAATGATTCGAGGAGGGTAGTTCACCCAGTCCAAGAATTAGCAAGACTTACAGAACAGGTAGGTTCAATTAGCAATTTACTGGGAGGTCATCTAGTCAGACTCAGATATCCGAGTAGCACACTTAGACTTGAACGGTTTTAGGGGCATGACAAATCCTTCGAGGTGGAGCAGTGATATCAAGATCAATCCTTTGTGCTGCGAGCACCCGGTTGCGTCTGAAAGAGTTTCGCAGAATACTGGAAGTTTGGCCGTAAATTGTATGATTGCACCTGGAATATTGTGGGCACTGAGGCCGAGTGTCGAAGTGCTGCCTTACATGCTCATGATATGTCGCCAAGTGTAGATGTATGAGTAGCGAACTTGAATGGATCGTCTTGGTGACCTGAGAACACAGCTTGAGGCACCAGAGGTCTTGGATAACTCCTTGTAAGGCACTCAGATGTTCAGTTGGGGGGTAGTGTAGCATCATACCGAGAGAAGTTAGCATTATTCATATGGTATATCTGCTGGCATATCTCTTTTGGAGTGCTTCGTCGAGGTAGTCATTCTGACACTGTGTAATAAAGGACTTAAACAGATATTTCTCGTACTGCCATTGAAATTGCTGGTCCAACCTGCTTGATGGCGGACGGGGGTCTGTTGCCTATTTGCGAGGCAGGTCCATAACCTTGGGGTGCAATCTCCTTCGATCTTCAAGAGGTGTTAGCGCTAGCACTCTCGCTCTAAAGGACCCTATTACTAGTAGCTCCCTTCATGTTTGAACATCTGAAGACTGTCATTTGTTGGACAAACTTCCTTAGTGGAGGTCTCTTTAGCGGTCCGATAGGGCCGCCACCCATGCGGGGTACGGCGACCGCCCAAAAACGGCTGAGAGCCAGGTTCAATTGAGTGAACACCGGCCGTGTCTGGAGGAGAGGATCTGGGATGAACATGGCCATGTATGGCTGTCATGCTTTTATTGAGTAGCCTGTCATTTGACTGTACTATCTGGAGCAAGGTTAATACAGCAACTTGAATCTTTGTAATTTATTAGCAGCCTCGTTATGTACAGCGGGATCCTTGTATGGAAAGCTCATCATCCGCCCATAATATGTATGTGTAGTGGACAGAGTTTGTATCCTGCAGGCCATATTTTCCAGCATACAACTAACTGCAGAGCTCACTTTGGAGTTTGCGAAGCACTATATGGTTGCTTGGCATGCAGTGGCCGCAGCGCTGGGTAGAACCGCGCATTGTGACCGTATACCATGGCTCGCGGGTCAATTGGTTCCGCTACACTATCAGATCGTGAAGAGTTTAATGCCTTGAAATTACGGCCATTGGGTTACGACTGTCCTACGGCTCGGTCAGACGATTGCCAGGCGCTTAGCCGGCCCTGGGTGTTGTCCGTCCTGCCGTATATTTTCTGCTTATATTTTGGTATAGTGCCAAGCTGTAGCGTCGTGGAGGGTTCAAAGTCATGATAATATAGGCCCATCTCTACGGCCGACAACCCATGTGTTTTGGTGTGTAGACCTACTGGGCACTACCACACTGGTGGGGCTCTAGGACATAAAGTCCATAAGAAACGGCAGCTGGACACAGTTATGCCCTCGGGAGTCACGGAGCTAGTCCATGTCCTGTATATTGAATCTGACAGGACAGTGTTTCATAATGCAAGATAAACAGCATCAGCCGAAAGCGCTTGTATATGCAAGGAGAGGAGGGTCAACGTTATTAGCATGTTAATTCATTCCTCGTATATGGAATAGATACGTACCGGGTTAGTGTTTCTGGTGGACTATCCTCGTGTCGTTCAGGATGTCTTCTTTCGAGCAGCAATTTTGGTGACGTGATTCCGAATATTCAGCATGCTCGTACCGCGGGGTTTGTAATTCTTTACTTCATAGCCATTAGCTGATTGGACGTGATATTATAACACACATTCGGGGGGTAACAATGTCACATTCAAGGCACAGAATAGCGCAGTGGTACATGGCTTTAGCACGTAGCCTAGCAAGAAGTGTAATAGTATGCAGCTGGGTGATTTACCGATGTCATGAACTCCGTTAAGGTATTACATGCAATCCAGACCCGCATTTGAGCCTTCATTCCCAATCAAGCCGCGAGGGATGTCGAATCAGCCATCATAGAATGCGCTCCAACGTGAGGGAGAAATATAACAGGCAGTTATAGGACGAGGGGCATAGCTTAGTGAGAACTAGAAGGCTAGTCGAGAGAGAGAAAATAGGTAGGGGGGTAATAGGGGAGTAGCAAGCGAGCAGCTGAAGCAATAGCGAACCTTCAATGGTGTTTGCGCGGCAGCATTAGCAATGATATCAGATCAGCAATGGAATAGCCCACCTGCAAGAGGAACGGCCAATTCGCAGTCACATCAGCAGTCGCGCAAGCAGCACGAGCCGGGGGAAGGCCCTAGGAAATAGTAAATAGCAGACTGTCAGGGGATAACCGACCCAGCGTAGCGCCAGCAGCTGAGCAAAGCTTCAGGCAACAACAACAGCAGACAGCGAGGATACTGGCGAGAGGGATACCCAACTCGCTGTAGCAGCAGCAGAAGCAGCAGCAGGGCAAGGCCCTAAGGAAATAGTGAACAGCGTAGCAAACAGCATAGCAAATGGTGGGAACAGCGCAGCAGACTGGATAGCGAGGCGGCGGCGGCGGGTGGACGTAACATGCAGGCCGAGTTGCAGGATCTAGGTGACATGCCGATCGATAGTAGTGAATCGAAGCTTGCGTTGGCGGAAGGGCGAATGATGTCGAGGGGCGACTCTCGGGATGAGAGAACAGTCAGGGGTTGAGTTGTGATCGCCGCCGCAGGCGTAGCTCAGATGGGTAAAACAGCCAACGTCGATGGGCGTTGAATCAATTCGCGACGCTCTCGAGACACCGTCGCCACGTGTATCTGGAAAGAACGAGATAATACTGATTTAGTTGAGGAAGTCAATCACACACCTCGTATGCTGCGTTATAGGTCTACCACCATTGTCCTTCGCTCTTTTCTCGGCCCTATTTTGTGTAGCCGCCATTTTGGAAGAGGTCTTGAGATTCAATTTTGTGGCTAGCAAGCTGAGCAGAGTGCCAGCTGGCACCCGGAAGATAGGAAGCATCGGTGAAAGAGACATATTTGCAGACTTCCATACTGCGAGAATCTCAGAAACGAGATTTTGAAGCACTCAACGCGGCCATTGAGGGGCGGCATTGAGGCTGAGCAAGCCTTCGAGGCGAGATGGTGGTGGCACGAAGCAGAGAGCGTCACGTGCCGCCCGCCACTCGCTCGAAGACTTAGTTCTATCCTTTCATTCGTTCCTCACTTCACTTTAGAACCGCAAAAACTGTGATCGAGTCAGCTGGTTTGTGATAAGCTCGTCACCCAAAACGTCGGCGGCCTCTGTTCTGGCAGCCGTCTCATGCTTCAGTTGTTCCATTTTGTTCTTCAAAACGCCGCTTGTCAATCAGGATTCCAGGTCGAAGGAGTAGCTGTATGCTGCTTCGGAGTCTGTTTTCCTAAAGAAGTGCTTGAAAAGGGGGGTATGAAGCTGCGGACCGATGAAAAAAGGGTCCACAACGGACTGTTCGAGGAGATACACTCCCTGGCATGTCTCGAAAGCGCGCGAGAGGGGAAGCGGTCCTTCCGCGTCAATCTTGCCTTCCGCTTCGCGCATCAGCCGGACAAAAGTGGCCTGGTCGCGCACGTTTCGTGGCTTCAAGGGATGGTCGTCTTCCCAGAGGGGGTGGTCGATGATAAAGAATGGGTACTGCGCAAACGAGGAAGTAGTCCACTACGGCTGTGATGCGTGGGGACGGCGTGTCAGTGTCGATGACCATGATGTTTTGCGAATGAAAGTCGCCATGAATCAGCGGGAATCCCTTGACATCGAGAGAGGTGTCGTAAATGGAAGGGATGAGGGAACGATGGAGCCAAGCCAAAGAGTAACTCAACGATTTCATGCACCCAAAATGCTTCGCGTCGAGTCGTTGCATATTTCTGCTGGCATAGGCGATCCAGTAGTCAAAGGCGTCCGTGAATGTTCTCGCCATGCCTTCTGGAGAATACGTGAACACCTCGTCGCTAAGGGTCTTTGCAGAAGGCGCGATGTACCACTCCGGTCCGCTCGGTGTGTCTCTTTTGAACAGAGCGCCGATGCTGTCAAATCGCAGTGAAGAAAGTTGGAGTAGTATTTCAACAACCTGTCGCAGAATAACCTCGCGCTTGGTGTCGTCCATGTCATTCCATACCTTGACGAGGGGTATTCCCTCTACTTTGGACATTACCATATAGGGACATCCAACCCCTCCCCCATCTCTCTCGGTGTTGTGAGCAATCACCCGAGGGACTGGGATGCGGGTGTGAAGTAAAACGTACTGCATGCTGGCCACCTCGCTGGCGGTTCGATGGCCCAGTGTTTCGGCGGCGACGTCAGTCAGTCCCAGGGGTTGATATGGCACTCGGACCACCACCTCTGTATCCATCCCATCGTCGATCTTGAGGAAACGAACAACGTTATATCCGCCATTGATCAGTTCACCCCAAGTGAACGATTGGGCTTGGGAGCCCCCACAGACCACCGCGGCGAGTGCATCCCAATTACAAACGGTCCTCATCGTATGCTGAAGACGGGGGTCCTCATGCCCACACGACCGATCAGAGGGAGTTTTCATGACCTGAAATGGGTGAAATTCGGGCTGAGTTGCGGGTTGGGGAATTGCGTTGCGTTTGGACTTCGGCTTCCCGGGCCGGAATTTTCGGGTTTTCTCTGGCCCGGGAATCCAGGATGCCTCTTTGCCTTTTTGCCATTGACCACCATGAGTCCACCACCATATGAATTCCTGCTTCTCGACAAGTATTTTCGCCACCATACCCGCTTGTTACGCGCTGTGCAGGCCATCAACTAGGAGGCACTGGAAGCTGTAGCATGCAACACCAACCTTAGGAAGATCAAGCCCACGATGGAGCCAGGGAGCCAGAGGAGGCAAAGGAAACCGAAATGCCGGGTGGCCGCACTGTGAGCAAGGTGGCGAGCACGGAACATTGTATTTGTGTCGCTTCACACCAGCATACCCGGCAGTTCTAGAACGAATTGACCAAAAGAATTTTGGATGCATGTACACCATGGTCTGGCTCCATCCCTTCCGTATACGATACATTCCTCGAGGAGCACGGGTTTCCTCTGATTTTCACTCGCAAAATATCCTGGCAGCCGACGTCGACACTTCGTCCCGCATTACCGCTGGGAACGTACCGCCACTCAACCGACGTCCAGTATTGAGGTTCGACCTCCACTCCCACGACCTGAAATGGGAATTTTATTTTTGGATCCGGCAACTTTCGGCAGTGAGATTCAAACACTCAACATGCCGTCGGCAGGATTGCAAACAAGCTCGTCCACACGACAACGTTTTACTCAATGACAATCGCCTTCATGTCGCCTCATAATCTGGTGCCCGCCCTTTCTCTTTCATCTCCCTGCGTCTGTCTCGAGAGAATGCCGCAGATGCCCCTCAATCTGCAGGTCTCGTCGGCAGCGACATTTCAGGTTCAGTTGCGTTGCCCGCCCAACAACTTTAGCCGCACTCGCAACGACTAAGTGGATCCAGAAGCAAGGCGAGTAGCTCAAATTTGAATTGCATTGTGTTAGACCTTTCTAACATGGCACGGAAACTTAGAGTGAGGAGTTGACACTGCCTCGGCGGCGTAGACCAAGATGCGCGCAAGAAGTTATCACCGCCGTAGGGCACATCAAGCAGGATTACGGCGGTCAGTATGCTCGAAACACCTAATCTGCTCTGTCGCGGACCCAGGAAGCCTCGAACAGATGAGATTGCGGTGTGGGTTCGCCCTAGGATTTCGCCCTAGGCTGGATATATGTAGGCGACGCTGTCCTCGCATCATTTTTACCTCCACTATCCGACCACCGTCTTCGCCGTCTTCATGGGCCGCAAATAGTATTCCCCGCCTCGCAAACTATTGGAAGTGAGCTGTAGCACACTCCATCGTATTCGGTAGATGTCCTACAATTAAAAACATCATTCACCCATTCTCAACGTACTTGACCTACATAAGCCCCGGTATGTTGGGGAAGTATACTGAAAATAGGTTCGTCGCTTCCCTACTGAATCTCCCCTCGTCTCCCCTCGTATTGGCGCATTCGCGCCCTCAATTCCGCGAAAAAAACAAGTCCACGCCAAACAAATGTCGGCCAGGACCTCAATTTCGGCCGGCATGATCCAAAAATAAAATTCCCATTCCAGGCCGTGGGAGCGGAGGTCGAAAATGAACAACTACCGACGTCCTCGTTTGCTCAATACCCTTTCTTCATTGTTGATCACCCCATCTGGCCAGACGACCACTGCCTCGAGCCCCGAAACGTGCAGGACCAGCCGACGTTCAACCGCCCTATGCACGAGGCGGAGGCCCCGGGAGGATCCCTTCCGATTTCGAGAGCTTTTGAGACGTGCCTAGGTGTCTATCTCTTCGAACAGTCACTTTTTTCATCCTTTCTTCATAGGGCCGCAACTGCACGTTCCGCTCTTCAAGCACTTCTTTGGAAAGCCAGATTCCGACGCAGCATGGGACTGCTCCTTCGATTTGGAGGCTGCCTTGACTAAAGGTATTTTGAAGGGCAAGATGGAACAACTACAGTATAAAATGGATGTTAGACAGGAGGCTGCTGACGTTTTGAGCGAGGAAATTGTTACCTTCTCTCAGAGCAGATCGCAATTTAAATAAACCGGCATATCGATAATTTTTTTCTCAATAATGTTCTGATTCATGAGATGGAGTTGTACGGGTAGGGACATAAACATACCCTTTCTCAAAATGAACTTCTCGAGAATGATCAAGGCTTTATTATCGAGATGGACAGTACCAGTTCAAGAAAGTGGAGTTTCGTCAATTTCGGCTCGTTGTGGTGCATAAATAAATATAGGCTTGCCTCATTCACAGTCACCTTCTTTCGACATTTCTCGACCCAGTACAATCCCACGGCGAGGTCGTCTACATGTCAGAGGTATTGCAACTCTCTTCACCACAGCACCCACAGATAATGCAAATAGAATGACGTCCAAACCTGAGGCCTGAGTACCAGTTGTCTAAGGCTTTGTCGGGCTATGGTGAGTGCGTCGGGCCTATCTTTTCTCGTTGACAACCTATCCAACGGCAACGCCAGGGTCTTCAAAGTTTCGCATCGACGATCGACGATGAGAAGAATCCTGTCGACAAATGTCAACATCAATAAGCTTGAGCGTCAGTGTGGTGGTACACCCAACGCCGGAGCTGATTCTGGAGAAGCCATCTTGCGATTGCGCACTGGAGGGGGCAATGTTCCAGAGCTTGCTCCAGAATTGGATCCATCCGTCTGCTCGCTTGGGACCTCTTTTGCCAGTTTCTTGTACCGCTTCGGGGGTCTTTGTCTGAACGGTTCGATTCGATGCTGCCTTGAAGCTTGACTCTGTACGTGAGTGCCAAATGGTACAGAGGGCTGTGACCTCAACGATGGCAGCTCCCGGCGTTAACTCACCTAATAACAAGGAGGCTGGGAAGGAGGAACACAGCATCGTCAGTGTCCTTACACCAAGAACCATCTGGGGAATAGAACAGAGGTCCCGTGAGTCACTCAACATAGTATAAAAGACAGCGCCTCGAGGCTTCCTATCTTTACTCACGGTTCTTCCTTTCATCCTCTTCCAGCGACACCTCTTCTTCTACATCAAGGTTCCGTACCGCAAATCGCGTCGATAAGACGCGTCAACGGGCGCAGAGATCGCCTTGGTGCCCGCTACCAAATGAGAAACAATGTCAGCGCGTTTTCCGAGTAACTTTTCTTTCATCGAGGATTCGGGCGCCAGAGGCAGGCCAACGTCGGTGGCACATCCTCGCAGATCCATGCCTGGGGGTTATCCTTCGCCTGAACGGACACCTACTCGCTCTCGTGCTTCTCAGGTGAGTATCATCTTATGAGAATCTCTCTGTTCTCTGACATTTGCCGTAGAGCAACAACTCGAACTGGTTTGCACCGCCACCCTCGACGCCCGTTCGTCAGTCAGTCCAGGTACTTGATCTTCTTTCCATCGCGTCTTTCGATCCCACTCACATTTGTTTTCCGTCAGAGCGGTTCCACGCCCTCGGCGAACACTCGTAGCAAGGCCCGCGCAGGGCGAGACTCGGCCGAAACTGCCCTTCAGCATCGCCGTAATGCATCTCCCAGCCACAGGTCCCAATTGTCGACGCCTCCAACCACGCCGGCCAACCGCCCGCCTCGGAAGAAGAATCCTGATCTGTTGGAGCAGTTTGAGAGGGCGCAACTGTTGACTCCCCCTCCAAGTCATGGCAGATCAAAGGCAGCACCAAGGAGACCGCTTGCTGCTGAAGAGAGGCCGGATGTACCCAATACCTTTCAATCGGGTGCAAGCTCATCAGTTGTTCGAGAGAGACGTGAAGAGCTTGAAGTGGGCAACATCTTCCAACAGTCAAAGTACTCAGTATTGTTGACCCCTCCTCCGAGCCATGCCAAACCAAAGGTTCAACAAACTCAACTGCCAGCCGTTCAGCGTGAACCTGAAGTTTCCAATGTCTTCCAAACCGGCGACCCATCGTTGGTTGTTAAAGATGAGCCCGAAGACCAACAAGTTGGCAACATCTTTCAATCCGGCGCATGCCGACGGAAGAAGAAATCTGAGGAGCCGCAGAATACAGCACTGTCGACTCCCAGTCATGCGAAGTCGAAGGCACCGCAAGCTCAACCGCCAGCTGTTACAGAGGCACCCGAAGAGCCTGAAGTCAGGAATATCTTCCAGCTCTGCACTCCAACGAAGCCGAAAGCGGGGACGAAGACCCTGAAGCAATCGCTTGCTCCTCCTACCCCTCAAGCCACCCCGACTAGACCCTCGTGCTCCGAGGTGACTCCTGCAGACACGAAGAAAGGGCGAAAGTCTACCGAGCCTTCGATTAGCATCGCTAGTACGGGATCCGCTCCTCACCCGAGCGTGGACAATGCCCTTTCCCTAGCCCAAATCATCAACTCTCGCAGCACTCACCCGCGACGCGTCGGCCTCTTCTCGGCCAACCGCGCTCCAGGCTGGGCTCTTGATGCTAAAAAGGGGGACCAGCTTCCGCAGTTCTTTGAAGATCTTCCTGAGGAAGTACCAGGGTTCGTCTCATGGGAGTGCATAGGGCTCTTTAAGAATGGGCACAGTCTGCGGTATTTCCAAGCGGAGGATTTACAGAAGATGCGTGCCAGGGAGTTGGGCGAAGTGTGTCCTGTACCTTGTCGAGGGTTCATTCTGGGTTACGACATGGGGTAGGCTTTCGCCTTGTTCCGGATTTGGAGCGGCTGCAGGGCACTGACTTTGTTTCCGATCGTAGATACGGCAAGACTGTCACGGCAATTTCATTGTTCTTGAGCAACCCTCCTCCGAAGAACTTCGAAGGCGCCAGGGCCACGTTGTGAGTCTAGTAATTTTTGTTGGTTAGGTGCCAGGCTTAGCGGTGCTTCCAGAGTGGTCGTGCCAAACCAGGGCATTATAGACCACTGGGTCAACGAGATCCAGAGGTTTGCGCCTCAGTTAGATGTCTGCGAATACCGATCTATCAAAGACGGACTGAGTAGGTGTCCCGAGCCCTATTATTTACAAGAATTATAACTTGTTCATTCTCAGGGTCCGACGCCGATGTTGTGGTTCGCGATTTCTGCTTTCTGATCTTTTGATGACTATTAAAATGTCTCTTTAGCTGGTTACATACAATCAGTTGTTCATTCAACATCGTGCTTTTCTCGCAGGAAAAGGGGACTGTCTCTCAGAGGATGGGCTCGAGATGCAGGCTCCCCTCTATTTGGCACGTTGGTACCGAGTTGCACTAGGTAAGTGCAAGACGATCGTCGCAGCTATTCCTAATCTCGTGCGCTGCTAGATGAAGCCCATAAAGGTCGAAATCCTGAGTCTAAGACCGCAGCATCTCTTTGGGCATTGCGCAAAGTGCATGCACTCTGCATCACTGGAACGCCTATCCAAAACTCTCCGCTCGACCTGTACCCCCTTTTCAAGTTCCTGGGAGTAACTTACGATGGCATAGACGATCTTGCGACGTTCAAACTCAAGATTTACTCGAAGAGGCAAAAAGGGCGCATCACTGATCCAAATGCGCAGCGTTTATTGGATGTTCGTTTATTGTTTTTGTTATCTTCGACCTGTAGGAGTTAACCTAGAATACAGACGATCATGCAATACGTTTGCATCATCCGCAAGAAGATGGATCCTGTGTCCGGCCGCCCACTCGTTCGTTTACCTCCCCGCAAGGACTATCAAATCACGGTAAAACTTAATCCCAACGAGAGGAAGGTGTATGAGCAACTTAAACACTGGAGCCTGCCGATTCTTGCGCAGCTTACTCGGAGACGACAAGGTGAGTATTTTCTTCCGTGGGTTGGATGTACCCGAATCGATCGTTTTCATTAGCTTGTGACCACCCAATGCTTCTCCTTCATGGTTTGAAGAAGGCGCTTCTCAATGAAGAAGAGCCTGAGGGCGATGATGAAGAAGTGCTGGAGGCGATGGAGTAAACATGGTCGCCTCTATCCTCCAGCCTGTACTGACCGATTATCCGGTACCCTTAGGGTGGCCAAATGGCCGGAGAACTTGAGGAGCATGTTCCGCTCGAGTCATTTGTCCTCCAAACTTCGGGAAATGCTCAAAATCCTCAGCACTCGCAAGCGTGGCGAGAAGACCATCATTTTTGTACGTTCGACCTACGATTACCGGAAAAACGACTAGCTAACACTTCCTACGCTTCTGTAGACCCACTTTGTCAGCTGGTTACCTGCTATCACCAGTGCACTTGCTAAAGCGAATATTGCTTGGGCCGAATGTCAGTGGACCTCCTCTCGAACGTGTTCTATCATTAAATGTGCTCGTTGCAGACACTGGAGACCTATCGAAGGAAGTACGAGCTGCCGCACTCGAGAGGGTTGCCACGGACGACAAATGCACCGTCATCATCGTCTCAATCATGGCAGGCGGCGTCGGTCTGAACATCACATCATGCAATACTGTTATTCTTCTTGAACCCTGGTGGAACCCTATGGCTGAGGCGAGTCTTCATTCAGTAGTGACGAACGTGCATATACTTACGAAAAACCGCCTTCAGGAACAAGCCATCGCTCGCTCTTATCGAATCGGGCAGGAACGACCTGTAGATGTATATCGTCTCGTCACGGAGGATAGCATCGAAGAGTCGATCGTAAAGGCGAGTGTCGACATCTCCGAGAGTGGCGTCTGCTGATTCGAAATCGCAACATAGACCCAGAATCAGAAACGAGAGATGACCGGCAACCTCTACGAACCAGTGCCGATCATGACACCCCTCGACACAGCAACGCAGAAGGCTTGGGTGGATGGACCTTGAGATTGAAATGTTCAATTGCCGCTATTTATCTGGCTAGTCCTTGAGAACATCAAGAGTGTTTCACGACTTGCTGCCCTGTACTACAATGACTTGCTTCCTATCTATGCCTCATCTCGTTTGCCTTGACAAATCTTTCCCTTGTACCTATCTCTCTTGGACACTTCATGCTTTGTAAAATAGTCAACTTCCTCACTTCGTGTACATACCATTTCTTCATTTCTCTTGGTGGAATTTTGGGTTCGGACAGGGTGTATGTAAGATAGAATTCCTGTGTATATGCCGATAGCAATGCAAGTGCGTCAAATATGGATACATGGTTGCGAAGATAGTTAGTTTGAGCAATAATAGTTGGGTTGCTTCCTCCAGCATTTGAGACCCGAAGGATTAGAAGAAACCTGCCCTTGTTGATGGCCTGAAGATGGGTAATGGGTGTGCCTCGGTGTTAAAGACGTATTCTGCAAAGGCAAATGAAGATCGTCAGTCAATTCGATCGTGAGAGTGCGAAGGGTACGCACTGTCGAAAGGCATGACATCTCCGTCAGAGAAAAGGAGGTACAAGTACTTCAGCGTTTCGCTCTGCAACAAAAGAATAAGGGCATCAGAACCTCATTTGACACCAACCAATCTTTCAAATAACGCACCAAGAAGAACGTCTCCATCTTGTCCATCTTGATCGTTGTCGGGCTGTCCACGTTCAGGATGGCCGAGTACCCTCCCTCTTCGACCTTGCAGTGCTGCTCTATCGACTGGAAGATCTTCCAACCAAACTCACGGTAACGTTCGTTGGCCGTCAGGCGGTAGGCGATGAAGAGAGACTCGATGGTTTCAGGGCTGAAGAGAGCATTTACAAGATTAGGAAGGTTTGGTTGAAGGGTGGTAAAATGCAACCCACCGGAGAATATAACGAGCATCGTATGAGGGTACTCCGGGCCAGCTGGAATGCATCGTTGAGTATGGTCTACGGACGGAAATCCACATGGCTACACCCACTCATTTCCCTTGATATACCAGTCCTTTTTCGGCTTCCTATACACTTTGTCTTCTTTCGTCCAGAAGTGCGCAATCTCGGGTGGAAGGCCACTGGACAACGCACAGGAGCACATCGTCAGGCGAACTGCAACTGAACAAAAAAGAGAAGCTACGCACGTATAGGTATTGTGTGTATCCATGCACGTTTCGAGGAGCTCCTCGCCAAGCTTCCACTCCGCCTGAGCCATTGGGTTGAGTTCTTCAGGTTGTGGAGGTACAGAAACAGCCCTTCCAGTTAAGCCAATGGTGGTTGCACCGAGCATCAAGGAGCCGCCGAGGAAACAGACGAGGTGATCTTGCTTAGGCGACAGGCGCCAACTCCTGCAGGACGACCGTCAGTCAATAGCATACAAAGACAGAATACATAACGTACACCTCGCCGTTTGGTAGCCGTGACGGAATAAGCTCCGCTGTATATGTGTGATTCTGGATGAGGCCTGTGTGCACCAGCTGGTTGCGGACGGCTTGCATCGTTCCTTGGTATAGCTGCAAGGGTCGGTGTCAGTGCATTTAGTGCATACACGTTGCATGAAAAGGCCTCATACTCACTCCGAGGTAGACGGGTTCGGTTTTTCCCTGCGTCGGTTGTCAGCTGCGATCCATCTGAAAGGCAACTGGAGAAAATTTACGGTCTGGAGGTATTGCTTCCTGCGGCACCGTTAGTAAAGATCCTCGAATAAGCCAGAGGGGGACATACAACAGATACTCGTAGAAGGAATCTCCTCTCGACCCCAAGCGAATTTCAGACAACAAGAATTGGCCGTTCGTCGCACTGCCGTCCACAGATTAGGTCTGCCTCAAGTATACGAATTGAAAGACGTACTTCAGGAAAATAGGAGCCATTCCAGAAGGTAGCGTCACCGATTTGATGAGTCTCATCACCTACAAGGTTGCTCAGTGTATGTATCTTGTGGGAATGACCAACAGAACGCACTGCTTCCGCACTATCCCAGTAGACATCATCGTCCGTCAAGTAGCTCAGGTACCTCAGCTCCAACTGAAGCGTCGACGCTTCGGCTGTGCTAATCAGCCCGGGGTTTTCCTCATTGTCGACACCTTCCCGTTTTTTTAAGTTCACCATGGAGAGAGGGAGACCTGAGGGGGTGTTGAATGCGGGGAGGAGACGGTCGGCCAGGTCCTTGGCTTTTTGAAGGAATATTGGATCTTCGTCTGATAGGTGATATGCTGACAGGAGACCACCAAGGACACGGATTGTCGTCTGTATCGTCGGAACGTCAAGATAACTCTTGAGACGAAAAGTACGGCTTACGTGCCTCGAAGGTGTTGAAGTTCCCCTCCTTGTCGAAATCCAACTTCGTTGCGATCCAATCGCGTGAACGCTTGTACTCGTCTTCAAGGCCCATGAGTTGCATCGTGTCAATAGCGTCAACGACCGTGTATCCAATCCCTCCAGCCTCCGTCAAGTTCGACCCCTTCTTCGACTGCGGGTGATACTCGTCGCACCCCATTGCGTCTCTTTCTGCAGTCGAATAAGCATTTCGACTCTACTTGGCAGTGAAGAGACTGACCGTATCCCATCCATGCATGCTAGCGGAAGCTGAGAAAGGGCAAAAAAAAACCTGGAGCTCTAGACTACGCACCGAGAATGCCGCAACTATTGCGTCTCTTTTGGGTAAGTCGGCCTTGATGACAGTTCTGTTCACAACAGGTTCTGGTTCCTGAACGTCGACTTTCGGTCTTCGGAGGTCGAAGAAGTCAGTCTGCGAATGTAAATTAGACTGAATTCGCGCTCGCAACTCTCCCCACACACCTGGTACATGTAGATGGCGATGGCTACGGCCAACATAAAAATACCAGACTTCGCAAATGTCGGCGGTGGAGGCTGCTCCTCGCTGGGTTTCGGCGTTGCATCTTTCTTCTTGGTCGACTTGTCGCCCTGCGCGCCGCTCCCGTTCTGCGTCTTGTCTCCCGACATCTTCAGACCTGACGACGACTACAGGGTGGTTGGCGGAGGTGGTAGTGGTGGTGCGGGTCCAAGAGGCTTAGCGACACGTCAGTGAATCGAAGCGTCCTTAAGCTCTTGTGCCAACGATCACGCGCTCAAGTGCCCGCGACTGTTTTGCCAGCGCAACTCGTGGTCCGAAGGTAATGAGCTTCCATGCCCCGATAATTTTGCAAGAATTTACCGAGAACGCGTACGCAACGGTGCTGGCGTTGATCCACCTTAGACAGGGGCAGACTATCCATAATTGGACATCCACCACGGTCAGGGTCACGACAGGGGCTCACAGACACTCTCTTCTGCTTTTGAGCAATAAGAATCGAAGAGGGAAGTAAGGAAAGAGCTGCTATTTATTCTCTCTTGATTCATTCGTTCACGAAAGTCTCTCCGATAACTCGAGGACTCTCGTATGGCACATGGCCCGAAGGATCAACCACGAAAAGTTCCGTAAATTTCGTGAAGATAAGTACACGAAGGGCTACGAAGGGCAGGCGGAGACCCGGGGAAGCCAATTATTATCCTTCGGCGCTTAACTTGACGCTCCGTAATGCCTCCGTCAAAGTCAGACAGCTGATCATCCCCCCGAAGTTCAGCGTGGTCTGACGTGGGTCGTACGTGTCCCGGGCATATGCACTTACGAGCTCGGAGTTTCCTGTCATTGACAAGCTCAAGCACCTAAGCTCGTGAGCTTCAGGAATTCGTCACATGACTTACGCTGCGACGCGTCTGCCCCTATCGCCCCCTATCTGCTGGGGAATTGAGAAAGATAGATTGAGGCGAAATGACAATTTAGAGGTATACAAGGAGTCAGAAGGGATGTCCTGCTTAAATTCCAACACCACCAGTCACCTCCAGAGTGTGTCCAGAGACATACGAAGCCAGAGGCGAGCACAAACTGTCGAGTGACACAACTATTAGCCCATCTCCAGTACAGGGGACTTGGAATACTTACAACAGAACCGATCCCGCGGCGTCTTCTGGCGTGCCACCGCGACGAAGGGGAATAAAAGAATAAGCATCCGGCGAGGGGGCCTCCGTTGGTCCCTTCGCCCCGGGGACACCCAAAGCGACCTTCTTCCCGTCGATCTCGATGGTCACGCCAGCTTCTTTTGCAGCCGTCAGGCTGTGTGCAAGAACAATCTCAGCGACAGGTAAGATGGAGGAAAGGAGAAAGCACCCACCGAGTGTGGATTAGCCCAAAGGCGACCGTGTTAGCGCGTACGCCGAACGGACCCCACTCTTTCGCAATGGTCTTCGTCAGACCGATTACAGCTGCCTTAGCTGAAGCGTAATTGGCTTGTCCGACGTTCCCGTGCAGACCTGAGGTTGAAGAGACATTGATGATAGAGCGGTTCTCCCTCTGGTCAGGCTACGGATCAGGAATGTTGTGAGTTTCGGCCAGGTTGGAGAAAGATATTTCACACACCTTCACACGGAAGTAAGGCGCAGCCTGGCGAATGAGACGGAATGGCGCCCGGACGTGAATCTTCATGATGATGTCAAACGTCTCGTCCGGCGTCGTGTGTAGCATCTTGTCGAACGTGAATCCGGCGTTGTTGATTATGTGGTTAATTTTTCCCCATTTGCTATGCATGGCGAAACATTAGCGCGACCTCCAGTGGCGTGAAGATTTAATTACTTGACGGTCGCATCCACGATGAGCTTGGGGAAACTGTCCGCACCAACGTCGCCTGCGACAGAGAGAACCTGACCACCTGCAGCCTTGATCTCTTGTTCAACGTCTTCCAGGCGCTTTGCGTCAATGCTAAGGTTATTCAGTTAGATATTTCTAGTTCGTCAGTTCAGGAGGTGCACGTACTCGCTGATGACGACCTTTGCCCCCTCCTTCGCAAACAGCAACGCTGTCGCGCGTCCAATACCCTGTCCAGCACCTAGAAACGATAGAGGACAGTATATAATCAGGAAATTATGGTGTTGTGTCGTCGCAGACCCCTCTCAACTCCCAAAATAGCGCCAACAGCGATATAACTTGGAAAGGAACGTACCTGTGATGATCGCGACCTCTCCTGCGAGCAGCCCGCGGCCGTATGTGTTCGTAACGTGACCAGAAACTTGGGAGAGACGGTTGGCCATTGCTTCCTTCGTAGTAGATGGTGGTAGGAGGTAAAGGTGCGTACGGTATTTTGAAGAAACCGGTTGCGGATGCGGGGAACTTGAAGTTGCGCGTCCGGATGTCCGGTTAGCCGAACGCCGTATACGCGCAGGTGATTTCGGAGATTGCCGGAGATTAGGCGCTAGTTGCCGAGCGTCCACCTCGTCCCAGAGCGCTCAGACCTTCCAGTTGGATTCATCGTAAACCTCGCTGTGACTCCAAAAGTAAATGCTGGTCGAAGTAAGAGGTTCAGTTACAAATACTACTACTACATCTTGAACGTTCATTTTTGGCGTAGCTCTTACGCGTAGCTCTCCAAACCTCCGTCGGGAACGGTTCATCTGAAGTCAATTTGCCAGACTGCAACATATAAAGTCCCCAACTCCGCGAAATTCAGGGGTTTTGACGCCCAAGATCGCACCCCAAAATCCTTGATATGGGCATTCGAAGCCTGCACTAAAGTGGTCTGCGGAGGGTGTATGTAAAAGTTCGCAGCATGCAGCATTCTCTCCATCACCTCATTCAACGAAGGCGCACTCATCTGGTAAGTATTCGTGATATCAAGTCAACGTGCTCTCCTTCTCGCCTACACGCCGGGTCGTGCTGGCTGTTCTTGTCGGGATATTGCATCCGCCTGACCTTTCCTGACGGGTCGCGCAGCCTTCTCCTTCCATGCCTCGTCCGTATCAGTTTTTTCTGGAACGTGCTGCAGCCTCGAGCCCCAGGGCAAGGCCTCATGACACCCTCCGTGGCGCAAGATTATGTCAAGACTACGGTGTTCTGCTGCGCCATATCGACGCCTCTACTGGCTGCAATGAGCTTACTTACTCTATGTTCGGGTGCCGTCGAACCTGATGTGATGCCTTTCCCTGGGTTCCTGCAAAGCTGATTCGACAGGCTGACCTGTCTATCGCGGTGCTGTGTCACTGTCCAGCCTCGTCTCCCAACCTTCCTGTATCAACGCAGTAGAGGTACTTGCAAGCGAGGCCACAAGGCCCTGTTGGTATGCATGCAATAATATACAATTTGTTTATCGCTTGCACCAACGTCGTAGTAATAGTACATCTGTAATCATGAAATTTTGGGCATTCCGAGCCAAAAGCGAGGTGATAGCAAAACGACGAGAGAGCATAGCGATTGCGAGAACAGCAAGGAAGCGAAACAATTCAATGGGATAGAAGAGACGGCGACATACATACGGAAGCTAGAGTTAGAAATGTTACACAAAAACATGCCAGCAATGTTCACGACTTGGGAGACGTGGAACGACAAGGCTAACCGACCGTCTCGATGTTTATCAAAGTAATTTCGTAAATGAGCGTCGTGTGCGGTGGGATCATTGGCGCATACCCCATAGCGCCGTATGCCTAGATAGAATTAGCCCTATTCACGAAGACATAGCTGTGGGGCACGAACAAAGTCGGGAGTGATCGTAAGGCGCGCAATTTCACCCTTGGACATGCCTTTGATCCCTAGCAAATTGCAGACAGTCAGGACGCTTGTAAATGTTGCAAAATTCGCGAACCTTCGTCCCACCCCTTGATAACCTTTCCTGTCCCTATCTCTGTCCTGAACGTCCTTCCGCTTGAGTTTCATGGATTAAAAGCAGGGGCAAGTCAGTAAAAGCGCATTCAATCGGACAGCCAGCCAGCACAAGAACTATAAGGTTTAGGCGCTCGTATGCTGCAGCACCCACGAAGAAGAGACACTGATGCTCACAATTGTTGATTGCTGTTGCAGAACTCAACCTGCTGAGGCTGCCCATACGGCGACCTCTCCAATTTGTAGCCAACATAGCTGATTTCGACAATATCTGTCAGAATGCCGGATCGTACCTATTTAGAAAGCGTTAACGCAGCAGGCACCAAGCTTCTTACTGCCTGTCGCGGGCTTCGTCGCACCATCACCGGCCTGGAGGGTCTCCTTTGTGACTCCCTAGGCAAGCGCACATCGATATCAGCCATCGGCGTCAACCCAGGGCGAACAAGCGCCTTGGCAGGCGCACACTGCGCACTCACCATTCTAGGTACTAATACCCCGATAAAGTATCCTTCGAAAGGACGAATAGACGATGGGCGCTGGGCGCGAATTCGAGAACAATGGAAGAGGGGGTGGCCTGACAGTGATCGTGCCCTGCGGCAGTGAGAGATTAGGCCCTCCGATGCGGATAGCGATACACGGTTTCCGTGGGATACTAGGGTTTATATAAATTTCCGCAAGCGGGTTTGCCTTACGGTAAGCGCACGGGGTAGGATGTCAGAATCAGGTTGAGATAAAGCGCACGCACATACCTTGATATATCGAGCATATCAGCTAGTTCTCGGCGGGGTTGGAGCGTTTTGGGACGGTGGATCGATTAGAATGACCTGGAGTGGGCGCCCATCGGCATCATAAGACGTAGGCTGACAAATGGCTCTTAGAAAAACCAAGAATTGGTCAGGGATTTCGCCTGGTTGTTCGACCTAGTTTTTTGGGTGTTGTTAGCGTGTTTGCTCGTATCAGGTATAAGCCCAGCTCTGGGGCAAGATTAGCTGCTTATTTCAGTCGACAATTGCGATGGGTAAACGTATACTCGATGCCAAGCCGGCAGGTGCAAGACATGGGAGGAAAGCGCTAAAACGGAGGGTTTCAAGTGAAAACAATAAATACACATGCAACCAATTATCTCACTGAAAAACGAGGACCGGACACTGGTTGCGAGACGAGTCATTCGAGGACGTTCAAATAAAATTATTAGAAGTCGTATGAGTATATCTCCGTCAAGAGAAGAAAGTCGAACAAGCACTTGGCGTGAATCTTGATTTGGGGGCACTTGTAAATGGTGCAAACTTGCACTAAAACAAGTCCACGAAACTTCTACGCGCCGAACGGATGTTTCAAGTCGAAGAAGCAAAATTCATGTCGCACACGACTGTGAGCTAGGATTGAACGAGAACTCCTATGAGCTGGTATTTGTGACCAATGAAATTCTCGTGTTTGTGTGGACGAAACAGATGAAGGGAAAATGGATGAGACAGTCCACCTGGTTTTAAATGCATGAGACGCCTAAATATTCTCGAGCTTGCGCGCTTAATTTGAGATCATATCGTTACACACTATTCGCGCAAGTCTGTCAGAAACGTTGGTCGAGTCCCAAATAAAGACGACGTACCATTCGTTTCGTTTGGCTCTCTAGTCTCAAAATGGAGAGAGAACCAAAGGCTTTCCAGCTCCCCAAAGCCAGGGAATAAATAGAAATTGAACGTTAAACCGTAGTGAACAAAGTCCAGATGCCCTTCGCGTACGAAACGATCTCGTTCGCGCCGAGCTTGCTGTCGCCAAAAATACGATCCACGAACGTGATCGGCACCTCACCGACGGTATACCCCAGCGCCCGCGCTCGCACCATCATCTCCATCTGGAACACGTAGCCTTTCGAGACCGTTTCTGTGATGATATGTCGGAGAACAGGGAGCCGGTATAGCCTGCGAACCCAAGGTTAGAGTGTTTGGGAGAGATGGAGGGTGAAGATGACGCACCGGAAGCTCCCTGTTAGGTCGCTCACGCCGGGGTTGAGAACGGTGTCGGCGAGGTAGTTGGCCCCTCGTGAGACGAGCTTGCGCTTAAAGTCCCACCCGTGCACACCTCCAGGTTGGGCTTCGCGGGTGTATGGTATTGATGTTGAGCGGTAGCGCGTTCCCGTCACAATATCGAGGTTGTGGGCCTTTTGCAGGCGAATGAATTGAGGGATGAATTTCGGCTGTTTCGGGGGGTTCATTTCACCTACGACAAGAGAAGGCGCGTAGGACGTACGTGGTGGGAAAAGTCGGCGTCCATGATAATGACAAAGTCTCCAGAGACGAAGTTCAAACCGTGGATGTATGCGGTTCTGCCCAATAATTTGAGCAATTGCGGTTGGTGAGAATGACGATTTGGATATACCCCAGACCAAGTTTACCAGCACGCGGTTTTAGAACCTGTTTTGCCATCAGCTACCCTTCATTCCCGTGTCATGGATGCCCTCACAATTTTGTCATCTCCGTACACTTTCGCCAGCTGTTGCGCGATTTCTTGCGTTCCATCCGGGCTGTTGTCGTCAACAACTATAACCTCCCATGCAAGTCCACTATCCAGCTAGCCATTAGGGTCACGCGTAGAGCGAGAGCTGAACCATAACACTCACTTCTCCGCAAACATTTTTGCCAGCAAATACACAATAACGGGGAGATTCTTCCGCTCATTGTACGTGGGCAGAATGACGGAGTACTTGTGGGTATCGGGTGTGTCGAAGGAGCCCTGCATGTTGCGCGATGCGGTGCTTTCAAACGGGTTCATCCACGGTATGTTGGTTAAACGAGTGTAGAAGTGGCCTTTCAGACGGCTTGCATCGAAGAATCCCCGGTGAGCTTTGTAGTCGCGGTGCAGAGGTGCCGCGACGTGATGTGACGTGGTTCCAATTAATGCAGTCACGCGCTCGATTAGATAAGCGCATGGCTTGCACTCCACCACCACCGCCATTGTTGTCGCCACCGTTGATGCCGTCCCCGCCGTCCCAGTCACCTGTGACACCTACTCCAGGGAGCGCGTTGGCGGCAATACAGGCTCTTTTACGCCAGGTTCTGCGTATATCGACGACAGACGGACGTGTCTTCCTTGGAACGTTCGCAGGCACTGATAAACCTCTCAATATCATCTTGATCAACGCAGAGGAATACCGTGTTAGTCCAGGTCAGAATCCGGAAGGGAGATATGTTGGGCAGGTTATGATACCCTGGAAATTTGTCGTGAAGGTCGAGGCGCACGTCAAGGATGAGAAGATGCGAAGTGGATATCGAGATTCTTTGTACATTTGGTGGGTTGCATAGCACTTTCCACTATTCTCAAATCCTCACCCTTATCATTGGCATGAGAATAGAGGCCGTACTCCTGTGCTCGAGCGCTCTGCACGACGCAGACGATGGTAGACCAACCACATAATCATGAAAGATAAATTAATAATGCATCGAACATAATTTATGTTGTCCTGGTACGTCGTGATCTCCCCAATGATTTTGACCTTTACTGCAATTATACCCATTCTTTCTAGAAACCTCGTAAATCATTGGCCACCTGAGCCGTTTCTATTCACTTGGTCATCCATCAGCAAAGAAATGAACTTCCTCAAATTTGAAGTCCTCGATTCTTTCCAGAACTATTCATTCCCGTTATTAATCCTTGTGGACTCGACTTTCCCTCACCTCTACGCCAGTGCGGTAGGTACACCTACTTGACGAGTGTCCTACACTTCAGGCGCAGCTATTTTATCGAGCCATGTGGTCGCCTTCCTAGCCACGCGCAACCACCGCCCTTTGAAGCTTTACTGCAACCTTACTGCGCCCCAGAACATCTGCTTCTTCTTTACAGATAATCGAACGCATCACGGACAAAGAAATGCGCGTTTGGCGCATTTGTGCGGGACTCAATAATAGTGTAAGCAAGTATCACTGGCAGTTCAGAAACGCAAGAGGCGCCTTGACCCGAGTGAAGGCTTCTGTTGGAAACACACATCACAGCTCACTGTTTGCAGGCCGTTCATTTTCAAAGATAAGCACTAGGACATCTCAAGATGGATGAAGTAAAGCATGTTTTAGTTTGGCTCGAAGTGTTGAAACTTGATGCATGATGACGGGTGTCCAATTGTCAACGACACTCCACGAATTGAGTCTTATCGGAGACTGAGGACAAGCTTGGGCCCCTGCTTGTTACGGGCAGGTTTCGTGAACAAATCGTAGACAGCTGGAGAAGGAACCGTTCAACCCTGGAACTCAGATCTTGCTGTTCGATATGATGTAGAGCAAAAATAAAGGCGGGAACACGAGGGCTCTGCGGAATTTCCCCGCCGGATAAGTTCACATCGCGGGGACGCAACGGCCAGATAGAAGCTGTTGGAATGCGCACTGCTGCCGAGTACCAGGTATACTTTCACACATCCGTCACTGTGGGTTGTTGCTCTCCCATTGATCATCTCTGAGCGCTGTTTGACCACACCAACAAACAGTCTATGCGTTTCGCGGGGAAGCAAGTGTTTCGTACTATGATTGTACTGAATCTTCTTTAATATGGGCCACCAACATGCCGCAGTTACACTAGGCCTTCGTTCCCCCGACCACGATGCCTTCTGCACTGTTCGCACTTTTCGCAATAACCGCTCCGCTAGCCATCCCGTGCATTTGGATATGGTCAATTACCCGGAAACTCAAGACTGCCTCGAAGTCCTCCTCTAAATTGAGCCCTATGAATTGGAATGATGAAGAGATTGTTAGACAAGCCGCAGAACTCTCCCAAAAACCTGTGGGTATGCATTCCTTCTGCCCGTCTGCCACGAGAAGGCGATACATCGTTGTCGGCGGCTCAGGTGAGAGTCAATTAAATATTCATTGAGGGAGAATAGACGCCTTTCAGGTTTTCTAGGTGGATGGATCGCAGTGCACCATCTCCTCCTTCGAGGAGAAGACCCAAAGAATATTCAAATTGTCAATAGGCGCCCAGTGGCGCTACACAGTGCTCTATAGTGGCCTATAGTGACTCAGAAAAATCCAAGTCTGCTGATGCTATTACAATTGGGTCTTCCCCAGGGACGGCGTTGTACTAGTCCTGACTCTGTCATAACAAGCAGGCCTTCTTCCACGGACTAGTCTATTTCATGTGCGCATTTGCCTTTCGTACCAGTCAAGCTTCCCTGGACTGGCCTTACTGTCACCCTCATGTACTGGTCATAGAATTGCCGGTGTCAGCATTCATGAGGAAAAAGCCTAATGTCAAACCCAGGCTGTAGCTGATATCCTTAGCATATGCGTAACATGTACGAACAAATGCCTTCTTAGAATGAAAGAAGACGCCCCACATCTTCTCAGTCTTCTGGTCCTATGGTTCCCGGCTCATAAGCTACGTTTTCAGGACCACCTACCTACCTAGCCCACCACCCTTTGGCCAACAACGCGCCAACGTACGAGTGTAGGTCAGCCCACGGCCGCATCTGCCCAAGTTACCTTTCGTTTCTTCGGATTTGTACTGAGTCCGGAACTGAACTGAAGACGAGTAACAGTGGTATAGTTTAAACGTTCGTCGCTGTCCTAACTTCTCGCTCGAGAGTTCACCTTACTTATCAGACATCATATTTAACAACGAGGGGGGATTATGCATTCACGTGTGTAATGACATGGATAGTGGCTACACGATCAACGACAAGCAGGCGGGGCACATCAAGTGCGATAGTGAAAGAGAGAGAAAGAGCGCGTGAAAAGTAAAGGGGAGAAGAGGACATTCAGACGTATGGAGGGCTGAGACAAAACAACGAGAAGGTACTACGGACGACAAGGCGAGAAGTGCTGGAAACATAAAGCTATCAGCTGCGCAATCGAGTGACAAGAAGAGAAGCAAACATACCACAATGAGACAAAGTACACGACTCAGTACCTGCGCAGGAAGAAGACCTATCGTTAGTAATATCGAGTGGGCAGAGAGAGTGGAGAACGAAGCTAGGCTTTTTTTTTTTTTTTTTTTTTTTGATTATGTTATTAGTCTGGCGGTGCCCTATTCGGGTTCCATAGCGACTTTAAGCACACAGACTGCTACACTACTTGGCCAGCAGTACCAAAAGCCTGACGGCTGGGAGTGTAGCACATCTTCTAACACAAGTTGTAGTTCTCATCTAACGTGTTGCCTTGTGCGTACCCGACCGCTTCTGGGAGCTGGTAGGCACAATGATTCGAGGTGTTCGAGCGTTTCAGTGACTTTCTGCAACAAATCTTGCACTTGAATGATAACTTGTTTTGTTCTGGGTCGTCGAGTCAGTGTGATGCGGGTGATAGTTGTGTTTTTGGGTTTATGTGGTGTTTGGGGGGGTGGGCGTTGGAGAGGAGTTGGGTGTCATCCGTTTCTTCCTTTCGCGGTAGCGGGAGACCCGGTGCCACGATCCAAGCAGGTAGATACCATTCTGACAAAGGCGATCACAGACGCGCTGATCTTCGAACCTGACCAGCATCGACAAGCGCTCCTTCTCGAATTCCTCTCCATCTCGACACAGAATCCTGAGTTTACCTCTGATGTCCTTTCTTACCACACCTCCTTCTCCTTCCAGTAGTGCCCAGATGTCTTCGCCTGCATCCGCCGTGTCGAAGGAATCCCTGAGGGAAGCTGCAGGTAAATCGTGAATTACGACGCCATACCATGGAACATCCACCTCCAGCATTGGGAGGTAAGATGGGCGGTTGAAGTCGGGGATGGCATTAGCAGCAGCATGTATCATTTGTCGGCGATTTTGAAGCGCTGCTGCAATCGCCTCGTTGACAGTATGGATAGCCACGTTGCCCGACTTCGTGATATTGGCAGCAAGGATTCTCCTGTCCCCTCGAATTGCTGAGTCGTGGTCGAACTTGAGCGCATCGTTGAGATTCCTAACAAACTGGCTGAGCGATGATGACGACTGGAGTACTGGTTGACCGTCCCAGCTTGCGATGACTCGGCTGGTGGAGTGGGGGTGCTGGTAGGAGGACCTCTGATTGGCAGCAGAGGGCCTGTGGCGTGTAGTGGCGCCGGCTGGTGACGATCTTGCTTGGTGTTTTGTTTTCGAGGTGGTCTGGCAGGGTTTGGTCACATCTGCGTACGACTGCTTGCGAGGGTTCATCAGCTCTGGTGTAAGAGCTGGGGTGGTGGCGTTGGTTGCAGCATGTGCCCGGTCCTCCGAGGGCAAAAGTGGTGTGGTGAGCTTGTAAAGGGTTGAAAGTGCCTCGTTCGCGTGGTTACTGAGAGTAACTGGCGTCGTAGAGGCAGCCTGGATAATCACGAACGTTGCGAGGACAGAGTCCAGCAATGTCTCCAGGTGCCTGGTCTGTTCTGACACGGCGTCCCCGTGAGTCGAGGGAGTCGGCAGTGGCGTTGTGAGCGTGGGGGTCTCAGTAGGCCCATGTGGGGTTGAGGTGTCGGGTGCGTAGGTGGAAGGATTCGTGTGGGTGGGTTCCGAGTCAAGGGTGTCGGGCCCGGTCCTGCTGGCAGTTCGCCCTTTCTTCACGATGCGCTTCGTGTGCGGCGACCTTGTGTGCTGGTCAGCTTCTTCCTCCGACTCTGGAGGGGTGGGTTCCGGTGAGCGGGGACGTCTGGATCCCCTCGCTGGGGGTAGCGAGTTGCTACGCTGGCTGTCGTGGTGGTGGTTCGATCGTGAGAACATCTCACGAATCTAGGCTTAGATTGACCAGCCGAGTAACTTAGGCTTCTTCGAGGTTGAGGAGGTGGCAGCCGGGGAACTTCTTGTTCATGACGATCCTGAGCGCGTAGAAGGGCGTGATATACGTCTTGTCAGTCTTGTCAGTCGGGCCTCCGCCGCCCGTGAGCAGGCCAATGAGACGTCCGTCCCTGCCCACGACAATCGAGCCAGAGTCGCCGGCGTCGGAGAACTTGGCGTTGTCGCCCGTCTTCGTGTCGTAGCCGCAGACGATGAACTCGAGCGCCTTCTCGGATCGGATGCCGTAGTCGATGTACTTGCGAGTGACGGACTCGAGGCCATTCACGCGCCCGAAGGTGGTGCCGGTCGCGCCTCCGTTCTTGACGGCGAGCAGAGCCTTCAGGTTATGGATGTCGAGGTTCTGTGGGTTGCGTAACTCAGCCTCGGGGACGTAACCCTTGAGAGGGAGGAGCATGTCCTTGGGCATGTTGAAACCACGACGATCGTTGGGTTGGGGGAACATATAATTTTTCCAGTCAGCGGCGGTCTTGTTCCCGCCTGTGTAAGAAAAGAACCGTCAGTCAAAAGAGAGAAAGAGAAAAAAATGAAAAAAATGACGTGCCAATGAACAGCTTGTTGCCCTTAAACTTGTCCAGATCGATCTTGTCGTTATCCAACTGAACGATGCTCCAGTCGTACATGTACCCGCCCACGCCGACCTCGATCTTGGCGCAGTGAAGCACGAAGCCGAAGACGCGCAATTCAGTCGCCGTGAAGTTCTTGGTGACGTAGGTGTGGAGTTCGTTGGCGTCCTCGATCTTGGTCTTGGCACCGTTGATCAAGCTGTTGAGCTCGTCGCGCTTTGCTGTGATTTTGCTGGCCTCGTTCTCCTTCCACGCCGGGACGCTGGTGAGGGCCAACTCCCAGGCGGAAATGGCGCCCACCTGGTTGCCAATGAACCTCATGATGTCGCCGACTGCGTCATTGAACGCTTTCATGCCGAGGAGAACGACGTCCTCACGCGGATGGGTCCCTTCCTTATACGTGTAGTCCATGTTCGCGAAGATCGGAGGCGGGCGGGAGACATGCGCGCACGTCAAAAGCCCAATGCGCTTGTCGATCGGGTCGCTGCTGAGGCGCATGAAGACACCGCTAGAGCCCTCGTAGTAAGGCGACTTGAGAGGCGCGATCAAGAGACCGGGAGTCCGCGTGAAGGGCTTTTGAAGGGCAGGAAGGCCCTCCAAGTCGAGCGTCGGGTCGAAGTTCATCAGCTTGGGGCCGGTCCCTTGGCGACGGTAAACGGACTCGACAAAGGCGACTTGGATGTCAGGGAAGCCAGCAGCCTAGAAGACAGAAAAAAAAACGACATTTTGTTTAGTGGTAGCATAGACTTTACTTACGACGAGGATCTTCTTGACAGCGTTGGCAGCAGCGACGGCAGCGTCGTAGATTAGAGAGCCGGGTTGGATGGCGATGGAGACGACGAAATTGCAGATCAATTTGGCGTCGCCCGCATTCGCATAAGCGAGTGGATCAACCGTATTCCACTTCACTTTGAGTGAGTTGAGCAAGTCGGCTATGTCCCCCACAGTCTTGAGCCAGGTCGGCTGGATCGGGTGGCCGTAGATGGGGCGGGCGGCGCGAACGATCTTCTGAGAGTTGGGACTGGCCGGGTCCCGTCTTGTAGACGCAGGGCATGCCGGTCCCGTAGAAGTCCGTGATGGCGTGGGTGTACATACTGGTCAGGCGACTCCAGTCATCTTCGGTGACGAGATCGGCCGGAGAGTTGAGAGAAGTGGAGGATCCGAGCGAGCCCTCAGGAGGCGAAGATGAGACTAACTTTAGAGTTTTCTTGGACATGTCGACGCAGGACATGAGGAAGTTGTCGTCGACGCTGATAGCAGTATTGAGAGAAACAGACACTGGAGAGGAAGGAACGATGTTGGTTAAAACAAACGAATGAGCAGAAGCACCGGGTACTTACTTTTTCGTGGTTAATTGGGAGATATCAGAGGCAGTGAAAACGGTTTGGAACGGATAGCTAGACGTGGTTTTGAGAGAGATCTGGAGACGGAGAAGAATAAGGGGATGGTCAGTTCTAGAACGAATGGGAATCAAGATGCGAAGGACAAACTTGATTGCAAGAGCAGCAGATATGCAAGGGCAGAGAAGAACGCAGAGTCGGAGACGGTCTGAGCACGTCGGAGTTGAGTGGCGTCTCGGGCCGGTTGTCCGTCCCTGAACAGCGATCCACCAGTAGGGGGAGTCAGAGTGCCCGATTTTGGGACGGTTCTGGAAAACGATTTCGACCAGAATCGTTTGCCCCAGAACCGTGTGAAAACCGTGAATCGTCCCGAATCGCAAAGCGCCTCTGGAGCCGCTTTTGCAGTCGAGAATCGGCGATTCTGGTTCTGTGCACTCGCCTCCCCCTTCTTAAATATGCAGATTAATTCATTAAAATATATTTGCCCCTTCTTCCCGTTGGTCTGGACATTTGGTAAATCATTTTTTGTGATGGTGAATACGATCTGAACGCTCTTTCATCATCTCGCCCCTTTTTTCGGTGCAATTGATACAAAACTTGACAATGCGGCGAGGGAAAAATGCCAAAAAAATATAGGAGCCCCAGGCAGTTGAATTATCCATGAATCGCAGCTTCCATACTCAGGATTCTACAAAGGGCTGCTTATACCAAGGGAAGACAGCACCGAAACAGACAAGACGATGGAAATTGCACGAAAACATGAGTTTCCAGAATCGGGGTGGTCAGAGTCTTCCGCCGGTTTTGGCCCGATTCTTGGCAAAAACCGAATTTTAAATCGTGTCAAAACCGTCATCAGAATCGCCCCAGAATCGTCGAAAATCGCCCACTCTGACTCCCCCTAGTACTAAGTGTTAGACGTCGTTAATCATCGTCCGCAACCACCACCTCGACCTACCCCTGGCCCATCCAGCCCACGGAACCCTTCAAATAGGTGAGTAAACCTGTTTGCGTGTATGTTTCGATGCCTCCTGACTTGGGTTTGGTGCGCTAGGGCTCTCGACTGCGACGTGCACGATGATAACACTTCGCACGCAAAACCGCATGCCGCGTGCCCCTCCCCTCGAGTAGGGATGTGGGCCGGCACCTTATCGACCACATCCCACTCTTCTCAGCCACCTCCCCTCCCTTGCGATGCAGAACCGTCCCCCTACACCCACCTGATGACCCATGCATGACAACATCCCGCTGTGTACTCCGCCCCTCGCGTATCGGTGCGCTCTTGGCCTCCACAATGTCGTGCGGCGAGCTTCAGCGGATGGGGGGCTGTTTGAGACGAACGACACACGAATGACCAACGGGCACACACTTCGGCCGAGGTCGAGCGAGTTCAGCCCGATTGCGGAGGCGTGACCAGCTCAACGGTGGTGAAATGAGTGCAACGTAGGGAAGGAAAACGAACCAGTAGCGCTGGGGTAGCACGAGCGGGTGGTCAAGCACCAGCAGAGTGGCTGGATGAGTGCGAGAAGTTGGTCAGATGGGGAGGGACAAACCACCCTCTGCCTCTCGTCTCTCCATCTACCCCTCGCCTTCTCCCTCTCTTGTACACCCTCCCCCTTGCTGATTCCCTCACTTCTGGCCTCTCCAACACCCACCTCTCACCCACCCCTGGCCCACGACTTGGCGCCGACACGATCGACATGCAGCTGTGGAATGAGCGTGACGATGGCAGTGGAAAAAACGACTCCAGAGGCGACACGACACAGCGGCAGAGGCAACTCTTCCACAAGCTCGACGAGTGGATGGCCAAGCAGGCAGGCAGAGGTGAGCATGGCTGAAAAATTGTACACAAGCAGAGGGCGAGCAGGCGCGACGGTGGCGATGATCACAGCCCCGGCGAGACGGGCAAGATAAAACAGACGACGAGCGATGCATATGATGGGTGGGCACTACAGAGGCTACAACCAGAGGGGCGACGAGGAGGGGGTGACACGAACACGACTGCAACACGGTGGTGACGACCCCAGCACGCCGGCGGCAGTCGAAATAGCGACAACACGAGCACGCCGGCAGCGATCCATATGAGCATGATGGTGGGTCAGAACCACATGTTCAAGGCGCCGTTTGGCTCGTCTGCTCCCTGTCACGGTGGGTGGCGATTCATGCCCCCCATGCCCTGTACTTATTTTATTACTATTTAATATATCTTTTTCCGTGACTTTTTTTGTACGATGTGAGGAAGCCCGAGCTCAGCACTCAAGCCCGGTAAAATTTTGGGAGGTACTTAAGAACGACGCTCGCAATGTTAATCTGCTACCGTCCTCTGTCAATACAAATTTCATTCCATTACTTATAGTTGCTGTATAGTAGACGTACGATGTCCTCCTTTGCAAAGAATTGATAAGAAACAACTCCCAATAACTGACAGTGGAAGTGCGAAGCGACGCAGAGTCGTTTCTGAACCGACTCTGCGTCTCAGTGATGCTGAGTGATGGCATTCCGTGTGCACGCATGTTATCGTCGGGAAAATGCAATTTTCTGTTTTTAAATATTGGAGTCTCGAAATGTATTCCTTTTGAAGTACCGGCGGTACTCCATTTAGGGTCTCGGTACTCCATATAGTAGTACATTTTCGAAGCTCTAAAATTTAAAAACAGATGATTACATCTCCCAACAGGGAATATCTGGCCCTGCCAGCACTGATGAATTCTACTTGAGATCGGGTATCGGCTCAAAACTTCGACGCTGACCGAGCTAAGCCACTCGGCCAAACGACTGAGACTTCATGCACGTATGCTTAATGGTTCTGGTGATGTTACATAGACAATATTCACGTTTAATGGGGAGTTAACAGTCCAGAAAGTAATTGCGAATAAGGGCTTGATAAGATAAGATAAGCAGCAGATCGGGCCGAAATATCCCCCTCAGTAAATGGCGACCCTGACCAACAACTTGGCTTTAAACCACCAACCGCATATACTTGTCGGAGAAGTCGCCTGTCGGCGTTGAACTTTGAAGCCTTCAAGGTATCTTATTTCATGACGCTGGCGATTTTTCTTGTTGACCGATGATGCATGAAGGTCAACTGTGGGCAGGCAAGTTGGACTTCTGTTCCCCCCACACGTCAGATTGTTAATGGGTTCTAGCGCTCGACAACCATTGTCGGCCATCGTGCGTTGAATTGCCATGGCCAGTCCACTCTTAGGGCTCTTAGCCCTTCTCGTAATTCCAGTATTCTTGGTTCTGTTCAGCCTGTGGCTCTGGTCAATTGGAAGAGTCCTCAAGCAAATACCTACCGATGCGCGTGCGTGGTCTCCGGATCGCTGGGATATTGCGGAAATTCGAAGGATTGGCGCGGAGGTGTTGGAAAAGCCACTCGATACACTGCCATATCTCCCACCAGCGACCGGGAGACGCTACATTGTGGTCGGAGGCTCAGGCAAGTTCGGAATTAGTCGTTCGATGCATCGCCTTGACGTGTCGCAGGCTTTGTGGGTGGTTGGATTGTCCGTCATCTCCTGCTTCGAGGTGAAGATCCCAAGAATATACGCGTCGTTAACAAACGTCCGCCCACGCGAAAAGACATCCAAGCTGACAAGATCGGCTTCATCTCTGCGGACATCACGAACTCCGACTCTATACGCGCAGCATTAACAGCTGAATGGCCAGAAGGCTCCAACACGATCGCCGGCATTACGGTGTTCCATACCGCGGCCGTTATGCGCTATTATGAACGACAAGAAGCTTTCGTGCCTCGTTCGTCAGTTGTGAATGTCGATGGGACGCGTAATGTGCTGGCTGCAGCGCGAGAGGCGGGTGTCGACATCTTCATCTACACTTCCTCCGGCAGCGTTCCCGTACGACGTACGACCTTTTGGATCTTCCCGTGGCAAAGACAACCTGACACCATGGCGCAAGTCATCACTGACGAAACACCCTTGCCGGAAAAGCACAGCGCGTTCTTCTCCAACTACGCATACACGAAGAATATAGCAGAGGAGCTTGTCCGTGAAGCCCACCATCCGGAACAAGGGTTCCGAACTGGAATTCTTCGCCCAGGTATTGTCGTATACGGCTACGGCGATGGTCAATCCTTCCACGCGTGTTTGTGCAAACGCAACAATCCATCGTACGTCTTGCCCGCTTTTGCAGGATACTGAGTGATTGATTCCGTTACACAGTTGGATGGCAGGAACCGTGCAATCTGTGGTCTATGTCGAAAATGTCTCCTATGCCCACCTGTTATACGAATCGCGGCTGCTCGAATCACAGTCCGCCCAAGCTACCTCGCCTCTTCAAGCACTCGGTGGGCAATCCTACCTCGTTACCGACCCCGGCAACCCCGTCGCTTGCGGAGATGTCTACCTCGCCCTTAACACTCTCACGAACAACCGTGTCCAGTTCCCCGAAGTGCCAGCGGCACCGATGCTCGTCATTGCGAGCATCATCCAGGCGTACCACATTCTTCAAGCACGGTTTCCAAAGATGCTTTCGCCTCTGACGGGAGACCTTCTGACCTTCCAGCCGCCTATATTCGATCTGACAGCCGCGCATGCGAAGGTGGACGACGAGAGAGCGTGTTTACCGCCTTCCGAAGGCGGTTTAGGCTATCGCGCTCCCTGGACGACGATGCAAGGCGTGTGCCAGCTTGTCAGTGATTACCTAAAGGACGAGCCGTTGTAGTGCACACTGCAAGACAGTGGTAAGCCTGTCTTGCCCATGTACTTACTTCATCCTTAGAGACTGGGCTATGGGATGTGAAATGGAGGCTGTGGTAGCGTCCAGCATTCCTGTCAAGCACAAGTCGGATTCACATCGCCCACTTGTCGCCGCGATCTTATCACACTTCTCCCGTGCTTTAACCAAACACTACCGACTGCGCTCCGTTCCTCCCAAATTTCCTTGCGAAAGGACACTGTTGTTGCAAACTTTCTTCACTTAGTCGCTGAGGCCGAACGACTCGCCATATCCTCGCGGGAACGCCATTCAAAAGGCGATATTGCCGTGGCTGTAAAATGACGGCATTTCCTATTTTTATCCTGTTCTTGGCCATTTCGGTTGCAACCAGGCCTTGATGCCCACAATAGGGCACGCTTCTTGAGCACGCATCTTCCCACCCGTGCCCTCAGCCCGCCATCTTATGTCAATAATGCGCTGCTGTTGTAGTTATTTACTCTTCTCTTACCACATCTTAGCTCCAGCGCTTCGTCCGCCTGCGACGGACCTCCTCGTCCATACGACTCCGCCATGACCTCCACGAAGATAGAGGACGCGTACACGACCGAGTCAGATGGACGATTCAGCGGCACGACCTTGAATTCCGTCAAGTTTCGGCAGTCGACGCACCTCATTCCCTCACCAGGATCGTCGGGGAAGCTTCCGAAGCGTTATGTGCGTCTATGCTGGCAATATGGTGCACTTCCAGTGTTCTGACTGGCGCTATACAGGAGCCCCTGATTCTGACACTTCCGATGCTCCTGGGCATCCCTCTTGTGCTGTTGGCGCTGGGTCTTGGGCTGGAGATTGCTACCTGGATATCCAACAAGAACAACGGTGCGTTTTGCCTGCATATTCCTCGGTCGGAGTGCGGTGTGTCTGACGGTGGGTGACTAGGGTTTCGAGTACCCACAAGCAACGTATTTGACATCTTCGGGGACGTCTCGGCCCAGTTCCTTGCGGTATGTGCTAGTTGCTGCGCCTCTTATGTCATGCTGAGCGCGCTGCTGCGTTGCAGTCCTTCTTCCCTACTCTGTACGACCCACGATCGGTTTAGCTTTCTCGACGCTGACACTTCTGCAGGCTTGTGATTCCAAATGCGATACTTTGGAGGGAGTTGGACTGGATGACACGGTGGTACCAGGTGCGTTCCATGCTATGCTATAAATAGGTATAGTGTTGAGCAACAGCACTGCAGCCCTACCTCGTGCTCCAGAAAGGGAATGCAAAGGCCGAAGAGAGCCTCCTGCTCGATTACGTGCGTATGTTTTTTGCAACCTCTGTGCCGGATTCTCAAATGGGTTCCACAGATTGCCCTCGGGTATTGTCTGACTTTCTTCATGTCGAAAACATTTGCTCAAGCTTCCCCAGGCCGGTCCTAGCGTTGTTCCGAGCGATGAACTACAAGCACCGCCTAGTCTTCTGGTCATCATTGACTGCCTGCTTGACGTACTTTTTCCAGCCGCTAAGTCAGTGCCTTGATGGTCTTCCATTGGAACTTGCTGACAGCCTTGCACAGCTGGTTCTATCTTCCAAATCAGAACCATCCCTCAAATAGATCGTAAGTTGGGTGTTGGCATAGCGTATAGCATTCGTCCAGACTTACCTTTGGCCCTTGGCAGCCCTCGCAGTGACAAATACCAAGATTATCGGCCTCTCATCAGATATTTCGACGCTCGACGCCTTCCTCGGTGCAGCTGGATATGTTGATGCTTCAGTCATACATAATCTGACAGACCCTCATTCATCCAAGGAGGGTGGTCAACTGCTGAATTTGCTGTTCGTTCCTCCCTACCTATTGACCAAGGCGGCACGCTCACAGGTTTTCATTGTAGTTCCCATCAAAGGACTACTTGAATGGGACGTTGACCTTGACAACAGCAGGCGTTCAAACAAAAGCCAACTGCTCCAATCCAGTGTCGACAACGCTAACCCCACTCACAACGAACTCGTTCAATCTCACATCGACGTCGATTGACGGCTGCGTCCATTCCTTAATATTCAACTCTACCGGCCAGCAGAACGGCGTGGATGCCGTTCCCTGTCCGGGAGATGCGGCGTCTCTGGATCCCTCTTTGCAACCCGTCATGTTTTGGTATGCCTCTTTCCTGCGCATATAAATAACACTCATTTCATCTACGACTAGGTACTTCAATCAACGCGTCGCCGACAATCAGCCAGAAGCAAAAACTGTCTTTTGCACTCCACAACTCGCTGCAGCTCAGGTATTAGTCAAGGCAAACCTGGCTACGAAGACGTTGCTACCCGTAACCGGGCTTGGAGATCTACCTAATGGAAATCTGAACACCGTCTTTGGACCACCGCAGCTTGGGCGGCCATTCAATGGGTGAATTGCCTAGCCCGCATTGAACTAGACGTGTGCTAATACCTGGCGATTTAGATTAATATTCAGCAATATCACAACCCAGCTGGACCAAGCTCGCGCCGACACGACAAGGAGTATGATACCTGCTGCTGCATTCCGGGCTGCCACGCAGCTGCCTGATGGCCTTCAGTCGACTTTCGACTTCGTGAACGGCTTTTTGGACTTAACAAGCAAACTTTATGTTAGTCCGATGCTGTGTGACCCGCGAATAAATGATATGTCTGACCCTCATTCGCCTCTAGACCCGCCATCTTGCTATTGGAGCCAAATCACTTTTCTTCGTGAGCCCGCCCTCGGCGCTAGTGCCACTTCAAGGAGAGGTCGAGTCTCTTGTTCCAAGACTGAAGATAGAGTAAGCTGTATTGCCCTTCTAGCTCTCAGTCGTGCTGACCAGTCACGCATAGTCCTCTGCCTGCCCACATCCTTGCCTGCATTCTCATCTTCACTGGGATTGGTGGAATAAGCATCCAAGTCATCCTGCGCAACAAACGCAAGAAATTGCTCCTTGCTGCTCCCCCAGGAAGCATTGCTGCCGTCGTGGCCCTCACTGCACGATCAGGCTTTGGCGAGCTCCTGCTGCCGTACGATGACGAACTCACTCTCGAGCGGAAGCTAGATGGGCTGCGCTTCAGACTTGATCGGCGAACGGGGGCAATCCTCGCAGAGGAAGACGATGGTGCGGCGTATGGGGTTGCTCTGGGGAGGGACGATGCAATGCTGTCGTTGCTCGGGAAGCGGTTTGGGAAGGGCAAGAAGAGCAAGAGGGGCGCGAAGGGATCAGATGAAGACGCGGATTTGGACCCAGAGGCCTCATCATCGTACCTGGCTTATCAGGCCGCAGTAGGGACGCTGCCTTGGTCGAAGTCATGGGAGCCTTCGTCCTCCCAGCCATTGCTTGGCCCTCTGACGACGCCTTTCACGCCTACGACGCCGAGCCACCCCCCTCAAAGCCATTCTGCCGAACCTTCCAGGACAGAGTACGTACCCTGATACCCGAAATTTTCCTTCGAACTAGATTCAGATGACCTTCATGAGACTTTGGCATTGCATTGACATGACTCGATGATTCCCATCATTGTAAAATACACGCTACATCTTGAACTTGGATGCTGTTCTTGCACATCAACATTTATGCTTCTTTCAGGACCTACACGGGAGCGGCGGCCTTGAGGCGCATTCATTCTTGATTATCATGATCAAAGGTTGAAGAATCTCAAATCGAGCTTCCACTTCCAAAATTCAATCAGGTGTGAACATTTCAAATATCCGCTATTGGGTGTGGCGCAATTACTCGATCATAAATGGTAACTTGAAGTCCAGCCCCCTCAGGCTCTCCTGCCTCACAGAGCAACATCATGATCAACTATCAGCCCCATCAACAGTGGAAGGACACTGATGATTTTCCCCCTGAGCTCATCGCTTTCTTGTTCACGCCGGAGTGTTGCCCTCTGATGACCCGAGGCCTTCAAAAATGTTTCTCAAGCTGTGATTTTTGGGCTCAACTTCACTCCATCAAGCTCACGATGAAACGACAGAAGTTCTGTGTGATCTCCCCTTACATCGGATTCCACACGTTGGGAGATAACAGGTCCATACTAGGAAAGGAGCTTGGGAGGCACTAGAAATGCACTAAGAGTCGGGACTCGGGGAGGCCCGTTTATGGGGTGAAAGATAGAAACAGGTGCCCACCATCTCATGGAATCGCGTCTATGGTCGTAATCCTGTGGAACCAAATCATGACACGCGAGTCAGATCAAGCGCATTATCGGAAACCCTGCTACACAGCATACCTATAATTTCAGTAAGCAACAACACGTCCCATAATTCCATCTTCATCATGAGATCGTCCGAGATCTCAGGGCATCAAAGACTCAACATTCCGGGGAGGGGACTTGGGGGGACACGGCGGGAGATTCATTCGGAAAGCGGGACGTCTTCTTCAAGAGCTTGACGAAGACTTGCGGGTGGGTTTATGAAAGCAAAAGCAGAGTGCACGGAATCGATTACTTATTAGTCATACACTGCTAGCAGGGGTTCACGTCCAATATATTTCACTGTCGGCTGAAATTTGACAAGGGCAGAAAGCAGAAAGCAACATCATGATCCCTTGTCAAGAGGTGGAACGTAATCACTCAATGCGTTCTGCAGGCTCGGCCAAGGCTGTAGACGAGAATGGGTGTATCGGTAGTGAGAGAGGCACCTCTTGGGACAAGGACAAACGTCAGAACGCGGGATGGAGATAACGTGGTTGTATTTGAAATGACGTACACAGTTTGACATGAAAAAATACGACATCTTAAACAAGCATCGGCCAGTGATGTCCTTCAGTGACGACAAACCAATTCACCTTTGCGCGGAGACGAAACTGCCATCTGGTGCTCCCTCTTCGTCACCGTCAAGGTCTTCATCTCCTGACTCATCGACAACGTCAATTTCAGTTGAGTCTGGCTTCCCCTTCCCTTTTCGACGTTGACACTGGAGGGTAGAAAGTCAGTATTTTTAGACGTAGTAGGAGAGTGGGCGAGCACGTACATGATATATAGCCGTCCAATACCCACTCCAATACATGGCATTCATCGCCCGAGAGAAGGCTTCGTCCTGGCTGACAATGGTGTTCTCGAAATTCTCTGTTGAGTAGTTTTCAGTCAATGTAGGCAGAGTCGGCAGCGATGGATCATGCGTAGGTTCGAATGTGTTGAAATCGATGGGTTTCGAGTCCCTTTCGACCTCCTCGTTCGCAGCCGCCATGGTGGAGTCATCATAAGAGGCTGGTAAATTTGATGATGACGTTGCATCTACTTTCTTTTGAGATAGGTCCACGGGAATGTTATACCACCTGAGAAGCGACTTCAGCTACGCATCACAAATAGGAAGAGATACTCACAGAGGAGATTTCTTCAGCGGTTCTTTTTTCCAATCATCCTCAGACCCGTGATAGAGCCGGTACTCCTCCATAGCAGACTCCCAAGCATCCACAAGAGCCGAGTCATCCCAGATCTCTTCATGCGTCAACTCGCGACTTTCCTCCTCATATTCACCCTCATCGGCTACATATGCATCCTCTCCTTGCTCATACGACGTTGAGGTACTGGTTGACCCAGCATGGGAGGGCTCGGCGGAAAATGATACATTCTTCGCATTGGAAGACGGAATAGTTTGGACGTGTTTCGCCTTGCGGTTATTTTTCTTTCGCCTCTTTGCGGGTGGAGGGTGAGTTTCATATGAATTGGCTGAGGGTGCTCGAGGTCGCTCGTACGGGAGAGTTATGTCGTCGTAGGATATCAGTGGTCTGCCCGACATGGCCATGGTGGAAGCTGAGTTCTGTGGTTTGGTCATCGTGTGAGTTCATGACCAGATTGTTTGGCAAGATACATTGATACAAATAGCTCCTAAACCCAGCCACATTTGGAAAGAATAAGCGCCCATTTGAACGCCCAAACTAAAAACGGTGGGTTCCCTCGTACGATAATAAATTCATTGTCACAAATAATATTACATGTCAATTCTTCCCGATTTCTTCGCTACCTCATAACTCGAAGAGTCCACTGCTAGCACCCAGCTGGGTTAACAAGTCTCAAAATTTACATGGACGCTTCCATAACTCTTGAAATACGGGGGTTCTGTACCAGGATTACAAATACTGTTAGAGCAACTATGACATTGGTCCTGAGATGAAGTCTACTGTCCGAGGCCATGCCATGACGCTCGAGTTCAACTGTACTAAGTCATGGATACACAACGGATGCCAGATGTCGGCACCACAAGCGAGAACCTTAGTCCACTGCATCAGCCCATGAAAAGAAGCGGTAGGGCCTGAGTGTGTTATTCTGAGTGATAGATTGGGTTTTTGGTAGGCAAATTAGGAACAGATGATTGCCAGCTGGAGGGAGTGTGTGAGGCTAACATCAGTTGATCATCAGCTTTATGAGCACCAGAGCTACTACTCGGCTGTGTCGGCCGTGGAGCCCATATCCAACTTCGCAATGAAATAAAGCTCATCGAGAAACGGCATTAAGACTTACTCTACTACGGTCAGGATTCATTTAAATACCGAACTACGACCTAGTCGACTTGAGTCACGGTGCATATAACGAGCACCGAGGAGTTGTACGAGTCCAAAAATATGTTCGAATGCTGCCGTAGTTATCAAGTGATGATCAACATTATGCAGAAGCCGCAATAAACGACGGCTTTGTCAAGCTCTGTTGGCGCAGTGGTGGTGGTTGGTGGTTAAGAGACGATTAGCATTTAGCGCCCGTTGAGAGGGCTTATATACCTACGTACAAAGTAACTAGAATATTCTAATAAATACTATTCTAAGTAATTGTCCATTAAGGGAAATAAACGAGAATGTACTCGAGGAGTCGGGAGACGACTCTTCGAGGGCGGAATGTCCGAGTACCAACTACTCGGTTCTATTCCGACACTCCCCCTTACTCGGACAGAACGCCGATCTCCGTAGTTAGATCTTGATGTACAGATCTAGGTAGTCCTTTCGTGAATAGATCGGCTAAGTTGTTGTTCGTGTTGATATACACAAGATTGAGGGTGCCGTTCTGTACGAGATCACGGAGGAAATGAAGCGCGATGTCGATGTGCTTCGTGCGTGCATGAAATTCCGGGTGGTGTGCGATAGAAACGGTGGCCTGGTTGTCCGAGAAGATTGTCGAGGTCGTTGGTAAGTCAATTCCAAGTTCTGTGAACAGAGAACGGTGCCACAGGACTTGTTTTGCGGCATGAGTAGCAGCTACATACTCCGCTTCCGCGGTTGAGAGTGCTACCGTGGTTTGTTTCTTGGAACTCCAAGAAACTGCGCCTCCAGCGAGTGTGACAACGTAACCACTCACTGATTTACGGTTCGCGTTGCTTCCACAGTCGGCGTCGCAATAAATATTGAGTTCTGGGGTAGTAAAGTCGTCGGACCCGCTGTAAGTAAGTGCATGGGTACGAGTTCCTTTGAGGTAGCGAAATATTCGCTTCACAGCGGTCCAGTGCTTCGGTTTGGGGTTCTGAGTGAACTGGGCGAGCTTCTGGACGGTGTATGCGATATCTGGACGCGTTCCAATGGCCAGATACATCAGAGAACCTATAAGCGTCGCGTATCCGACAGATAAGCGCTCGTCTTGGTCCTGGTTCACTCCTGGCTTTGTTTCTTCATCTGAGTCGTCGTCGAGACGAACATTGGGGTCTAGAGGCGTCGTAACAGAGTTGCAGTCGTCTAGACCATATTTCTTGAGCAAGGAGTCGATGTAGGCAGTCTGGAAGAGGGATATGGTATGCTCTTCATCATTTTGAGCCATTCCCATTCCAAGAAGCATTCGGGGTCGTCCCAGTGCTTTAATTTCGAACTTACTGCCTAGATCCTTCTCCACAACATCGTTTCGGGCGCTTGTACTCGCTATGGACAATATATCGTCGACCCATACAAGTAGGATCTCGAAATCGTCGCCCGTGCGACGCAGGTAGCAGCAGGAATCGGATTTGAGTCGATTAAATCCCAAATCTTGCATGGCTCGGTCAAATTCTTTATTCCAAACATTTCCGGCTTGTTTGAGGCCGTAGAGGGATCGTTTAAGCAGGCAGACACGGCCTGTACCGTCGTCAAAACCTGGAGGTTGTCGCATATAAATCTCCTCCTCGAGGTAGCCATTTAAATAGGCTCCCTTCACGTCGAATTGACGGAGATCCCATCCATTTATTGCTGCGAGACCGAGTCCGGTGCGCAATGTTTCAAAGCGCATAACCGGTGCGAACGTGCCGTCGTTGCTGTAATCGGTCCCTGGCTTCTGTGAGAAGCCCTGTGCGACTATTCGAGCCTTGTATTTAATGACATTCCCGTGCTCGTCGTGTTTCTTGTCGAAAACCCATCTTGATCCTATCGCGGTTCTTCCTTCCGGTAGGTCGGTTTCCTCCCATGTATTCATCTTCTTGATGGTGGCTAATTCTTCCCTCATTGCTGCTTCCCAGTAGAATGCCTCCGGGCTTTGTAAAGCCTCGTCCACAGTCCGTGGGATGTCCGGTTCTGTAGGGCTATTAATAAACATGTACCCTTCAATTATTTCCCGGACAAATTTATCATCAGATACTTCGGGACATATGGTATAGTTTCCTGATCGTGCGAAGTGTGCGCGCTCACGTGCCCGAGCTTGGGACGCCTTCGTGTGACGAGTAGGATCAGGTGGAGGCGAGGGAGTGGGAGTATACCTGAGTTCTTGCCCTTGCAATCTTGCTGCAGGCTTCTTTGAGTCCGGATTTGCCAGCTTCTTGTAATCAATTGGTGTCTTCCTCTCTCGGAGTTGACGAGAGTCTGGCTCTTGAGGTGTTTCCGGAGTTTCCGCGAGCGGCTCGGCTTCTTCGATGGGCGCTTGTTGTGCGGTTTCCTTTTGGGGAATGGTTTGCGAGGATGTCGAGATCTTCCCTTGCTCCCCCTCAGACCGCAAACCGGGCAATTCTGTAATAGTTAGCTCATGTGGCTCTTCATTCTCATTGAATGAAACATTTCTTGATGACTTGATATTTCGTTTTGAGGGATCATAATAGCGGATGGACTTAGAACCATCATTGAAACCCACAAAGATCATT